AATGAAGGGTGGACCATAATTTGTACCACAATACAATTCTGCAAATAGATCTTATATCATTTACTAACACATTTCTTCAAATGAAAACTAACTCATATGAGTTCGAAGTTCACACTTGTCTGAATATCATGTGCTTAATGAATGGGGATCGTCGAGATTCCAACACAAGGCTTCTCGGTTATCGAGGACTCTGATACCAGGTAAAAAAATCAGTTGGTTTCAACGATAACTTAACTTATTAGGAGATATTCAATTATGAATATGATATCATTTGCCTAACATCAATAATATCACTAAAATTGTATCTGAGGCTCAACCCTTGTTGTGCATTAATGAACAAATTATGGGCCAACCAATAAGTTGTGGCTTGGTTAAACCCTTCCTCATATCATGATTAGTTGACTCAAGCAAGAATTATGAAAGTGTTATAATCAATTATTTGTCACATCACTTTCCAAACCTTAACCAAACTACATTCATCCAAAAATGCCCCTTTTGTGGAAATGATTTGGTTGGCCGGTCGAATTTTCCCGTTTCCACATTCTTGACCATCCCAACTTGGAAGACAAGTGATTAAGCATATCAAGTCCTAATCAAGGAGCTAGGTCCCATTAATTAGTACTATAATTATAATATCCATTAGTATTAATCTCCTCTTTCTCTCTTACTTGGAAAAATTCATCCCCTAAAGCTCAAAGTAGTAAAGTCATGGCAGTCTCCTTAGCTATATGGTCGTTGGTCCCTTGATTTGAATGCATTTGGACTGACCCATTTTTGGAAGAATAAGTCATAAAACTCCCCTCATTTTGTGGTCAAGGAGAAAGAATATGAAGAATGTATGGTAGAATTTACATGAAATTCATCATAAATGTCATTACAGATATAGCGAGACTACACCCAATTTGCATCTGTGTACTGATTGATCACGATGAGTTTGATTCTCGTAGCCTGCATGGCTACATAGCTTAATGGTATTCCAAACACACGAGACTACAATCTTCCCTATGATATGCCCGTCTTGACGATCCACATTCTAGTATTAAGTAATCTAAAATCTCAATTTCGGTAAACTACAGATAAGATGGAGTTTTCACGCTACAACGAGAAGATAACAAAATAAGTTCATGGTGTATCCGTAAACGTTAAGAAGCGACAACACTTTTCGTGCATGCTAGCTAAATATTGTGCATCGTTATCACATAATTAATTAACCAAGAGTGGTGCTTTCTGCATGCAACATTTTCCTGCTATCTACTATACAAACAAATAGGACATATAAATTAAACCTATAAATTAGTAAAAATTGAAATAGAACTAATGAATTGCTTTCGCGTGACAAATTAGTATAGTATAATACGAAATTATTCCATCAATTGACAATGTAACCCATGAACTGATTTCTCTGTGGACTAGCATCTTGGGCGGCTGATGTTTGATGTGTTCATCTTGGACTCACTACAAAATAAAATACAATTGGACAATTTTAAATTCGGCTTAATTGCAAGTTTGGTCACTCGAATTGCTACAAAATTTCACGTTTGCCACTCAAATTAATTAATTCCATTTATAGTCACTTAAAATAGGTTAACAGTCCAAGTTTGGTCACTGGCCGTTAGTCTCCGTTAACTTTTGCTGATGTGGCGGTCAACTCTTATAGTTGACCGTTAAATGCATGACGTGGCAATTAAAAAAATATAAAAAAATAATATTTAATATTTTTATAATTTCCACCTCATTTTCAAAATTATTAAAAAATAAAATTTTTATTTCCACTGGCCGGCGCCGGCGACCAAGCTGCACCACTTCCGCCTCGGACGCCTTGTCGCAGGAGATTGGTGGAGGAGATTGAGGCGGAGGCGCAGAAGGTGGAGGAGAGGGAGTAACCACGGGCGCAGGCGGCGGGGAAAGAACGGGCGGCGGGGTTACCGGCGGAGGAGATGGGACAAGCGGAATGGGCGGGAGGCGCGGTGGAGCTACAGGTGGTGGCAGAGGAGGAGGAATCCTTGTCCCCGGAGGATTAGGAGGGCGGCGAGCAGGGGAGGGCTTGAAAGGGTTGTCCGGCGAAGGGGAAGTTGGGAAAGGCCATTGCCCACAGATCCCAAATAGGTACTGGAAGAATGGGTCACAGCGGCTGCTCGACGGCGATCTTCCGCCTCTTCCACGGCCTCTGCCGGCTCTACCTCTGCCGCCTCTGCTCTGCTTCTCTGTTTTCTCCCATTTGGGCTTGTGTGGTGGTTGTTTGGTGTCACTGCTGCTACAGAGTGATTGTGTTGCGAGGAGCAGTAGGCCTATGAGAAAGACTGTAAGAATTTGGGTTGTTTTCATGCTTTTTTGTTGCTACTTGTGATCAAAGGCAAGAAGAGAGGCAGCGTTGGTTTGCTTTATAATTTGTAAAATGGTGGCAGAGGAGGGCGTTGGCATTGTTTGGCGCATCCATGGAAGGGGACTGGGCGAGCATTGATTGATGATGGTGCAGCAATCAATGGGGACGACAGAGCCCCAACGGCTACTCCATGGAAAGGAAGAAGGTTTAATTCGCTTGCTTCCGCTTGCTCTGGTTAATTAATGTTATTCGAATTCGCGATTTAGTTTTAATCTTTGCCATGTTAATTTAATTAAGCTAATAAATTAATTGCAGGTGTGTTGGTTGGTTCCCCTTTCGCTTCGTTATCCATCCACCCCCTCCCCTCCCTCCAAGATCCAGAGCTTTTTGGTTCAGCGGCGACAAGGCGGCCGAGGCGGAAGTGGTGCAGCTTGGTCGCCGGCGCCGGCCAGAGGAAATAAAAATTTTATTTTTTAATAATTTTGAAAATGAGGTGGAAATTATAAAAATATTAAATATTATTTTTTTATATTTTTTTAATTGCCACGTCATGCATTTAACGGTCAACTATAAGAGTTGACCGCCACATCAGCAAAAGTTAACGGAGACTAACGGCCAGTGACCAAACTTGGACTGTTAACCTATTTTAAGTGACTATAAATGGAATTAATTAATTTGAGTGGCAAACGTGAAATTTTGTAGCAATTCGAGTGACCAAACTTGCAATTAAGCCTTTTAAATTCAGTCAAAGTGTCATTAACAAGTATAAAAATGTCACAAGATGCACTGACATATTACACAAATGACACACAACAACTGTCACTTAATCCAGTGTTCTTTGACGATATTTGTTATAATTGTCAATATCACTTCTCTGTGACGTTTATGTTGCATACCACGCCACTTATAATTGTAGCGTAACAACATTTTTTTGCGACATCTAAAATGTTATAGGTGACGCAGATAGTGACATTTATCGAGACATGTCAAACTGTCATTATTAAATTGTAGATATAAAACATTCATAATATGGTCCGACAGACGATTCTTCCCTCTTTGGCTGAAGCACACAACGACGATCTTAATTAATTTCATTAATATAATTATTAATTAGGCAACTTTCACAAGCATATATAGCCATGCATGCAACAACTCAAATTATCGATGGAATAAGAACATTAGCAAGAAGAGTCATAACTCTATGGATAGAAAATAATTTAATATCGGACGGAATCATGAAAACCATAACCAAACCAATTAAAAACTAACTCAAGTACATAGCACCTATAAATTAGTAAAACTTGAAATAAAACCCAAAAAAATTGCTTTCGCGTGACAAATTAGTATAACATAATACGAAATTGTTCCATCAATTCATCAATTGACATTTTGTAACCCACGAACTGATTTCTCTGTGGACTAGCATCTTTGGGGACGCCGGGCGGCTGATGTTTGATTTGTTCATTTTGGACTCACTAAAAAAAATATAACTGTATTGGACAATTTTACGTTCGGGCAAAGTGTCATTAAAAAGTACAAAAATGTCCAAATCGAGATGCGCTAACATTTTACACAAATGACGGATAATTGTCACTTAATTCAGTATCACTAATTTCTTGGCAGCATTTGTTATAATTGTCATTATAACTTATGCGTGACGTTTATTTTGCATACTGCGGCACTTATAATCGTAGCGTAATAATATTTTTTTGTGACATTCGAAAGTGTTATAGATGATGCAAATAGTGACATTTCTCTAGACAATCAAACTATCAATTATTAAATTGTAAATATACAACATTCATAATATGGTCTGACGATATATTCTTTCCTCTATGAACTTCGATTGAAGCACACACAACGATCTTAATTATTTCAACAAAATAATTAAGATAACCTAAAACTATGAGGCGGAATATGAATACTACTTTCGTCTTATCCCACCTCATACCACCCCGTTCTATATCCATTTTACCTCGATTTATCTCAATATCTATTTTTATTTCTTATTTTTACCTATCTTAACCCATATTCTCATCCAATGATATTTTAGATAAAGGCAAAACTTCATCTTTCAACTAGCTGGACTCCATTAATCTATCTATTATCATGATTTTGCATTTATGAACTAGTTTCTCTTTGTTTTTATCGTTAAAAAAATAAATATTTTCTTCAAATAGTATATAAAAAATGAGTCAACCTGCCACTTCCCGTACTCGTGTGAATATTACCTGACTTGACCGGCGCGCTCAGTATGAAACGGGTATGAGTATTCAGGAACTCGCCCCCTTCCCGTTTCCATCATTAAACCCAACCATTTTACTCCGAATCAATGTTTGTAAAACCGTACCGACGGTCCGACCAGAAAAAACCTCCTACTGGGGGGCTAAACCGTTAAGCGAATTTTAGCGGAACAAAAAAATTGAACTACAATTAAATCACGGTTTCCGTATAAAATAGCTTATCGCTATTTTTTTCTAGTCCAACCTCCGAAGTCCAAACGCGTGTTAATGGGCTGCCACATAACCGCATAGACTCTTTCTTGGAAAAAAAAAATCCAGCGGAGTACAGTGGCCAGGCCCATTTGAATTCTGCTTGGGCTTGAAGTTGAAAGTTTCACTCTCCAGCCACTTGACTTGAAATAAAACTCCGGTCAGCCACTTGACTTGAGACGTTTGAGCAGATCCAGTGTGTTTTTTTTCTTCTTCCCCGCAGTACTTTGTAATTCGATCGGCGGTGAGCAATGGAGCCCGATCCTTCTTCTTCTTCTTCCTCAATTCAAATTCCAGCAGGGGAGTATGAGGTCTTCCTGAGCTTCAGGGGCCCCGACGTCCGCAACACATTTGCCGACCACCTCTACAACTCCTTGGCGCGCTCCAAGATCCGGACATTCAGGGACGAGGAGGAGCTCCGAAAGGGGGAAGGGATCGCGCCTTCTCTTGTTCGCGCCATCCTCGAATCCAAGATATACATCCCCATTCTAACCAAGCAGTACGCTTCCAGCAAATGGTGCCTTCAAGAATTGGCCCAAATGGTGGATTGCTGGAAGCAAGAGAAAGGGCACCTCATCCTCCCCATTTTCTACTTCGTTGACCCTAGGGACGCAAGGCATCAACAGGGTCCTTACGAGGAGGCATTTGAACAGCACGCCCAGAAACACAGCATTCAAACTGTGGAGGAGTGGAAGGAAGCCCTACGAGAGGTTGGGCAGATGAAAGGATGGCACGTTACAGAATCCCATGGGTAATTAGCTAGTAGATTTGTTTGTTTCAAAGTTGGAATCCTGTTACTGTTTTGCTAGTGTTTTCTTGCTTAGTTGATAATTGCTCGGTTGATTCCACAGACAGGGAGGTGTGGTAGAGGAGGTTTTGTCCAAGGTGGAGTTGCATTTGAGGAGTGTTTACACGTTGGTGACTGATGAGCTGGTGGGTATTGACGCTCATGTGGAAGAAGTGATGAAGTTGCTGAACTTAGGCTCGTCCGAGGGGACGGTCATCGTCGGCATTCATGGAATGGGTGGTATAGGTAAAACCACTCTATCGAAAGCTGTATATAATAAGATCTGTAAGCAATTTGATCGTTGTTGTTACCTGGAAGACGTGAGGGAGACATTGGCAAAGGGTGATGGAGTGGTATGTTTGCAGAATAAGGTTATCTCTAGTATTTTGAAGGACGATTGCCAGGTTAAAAATGTCAGCGAAGGAATCAACGTGATAAAAGAGAGGGTTGCCAAGCACAGAGTGCTTCTTGTTATCGATGATATTGATGACAAGTTTGAATTTGATCGAGTTTTTGGAAAACTTGGGGACTTTTCTTTAGGTAGTAGATTTATATGTACAACAAGAGACAAGAGGGTTTTGGATTTCCTTCAAGGATGCAAGTTGTACGAACCTGGAGAAATGAGTCATGATCATTCCCTTCGGCTTTTCAGTAAACATGCTTATGGTATGGAGCATCCTCCAGAAGCTCTGGAGGATGCTGCAACTCTGTGCGAGGAATTCGTAAAAGTTGCAGCTGGGCTTCCATTAGCTCTTAAGGTTATAGGTTCACTTTTATTCCGCAGAGATAGGAGATTTTGGGAAGAAAAGTTAATAGAGTTACAAGATATACCTTCTACTGAAAATAAAGTGCAGGAGAGATTGAAGATAAGTTACAAGGAGTTGAGCCGCACCGAGAAACAAATCTTTCTCGACATAGCTTGTCTTTTCATCGGAATGGACAAAGAGATACCTTACTACATGTGGTCCGGGTGCGATTTTCATCCAGAGAGTGGGATCAACACTCTCATTTTTAGATCCTTGCTAAAAATTGATGAAGAAAATGGATTCTGGATGCATGATCACATTAGGGATCTTGGGAGAGCCATTGTCATAGAGGAGGATATTCAACGTCCATATAGGCGCAGTAGGATATGGTCATCTGAAAAAGGGTTGAACATGTTAATGAGTGGGGAGGTAATGATTTTGTCTTACAGTTTGGCGATCAGTTGCTTTGTCATTTTGGAATATGCTCAAATACATGAAGTGTAGGAATTTACATCTCTTCATCTTTGCAGGGAAATGATCGAGTGGAAGTTCTTAGGATCCAGTTGGACCGTACAGATAGACAGCTTACAAACAAGGACTTCAAAGAACTGTCAGGATTAAGGTATCTTGAAGTGCAGCACGGAAGATTGAAAGGGGATTTCAGCGACATTCTCCCGAATTTGTCTGCCCTTCAATTGTATCGCTGTAAATCAATCCCCACCGATCTTAACACAAAGAAGTTGGCAGTTCTCCATCTGGAAGCTTGCTATGTGACAGACGACTGGAGAGGGTGGAAGAAGGGAATGCAGGCAGCACACAAGCTGAAAGTCATTAACCTACCGAGCTGCTTCAAGTTGACAAGACCTCCCGACTTGTTGCCGTGTAAAAGCCTGGAGGTGATGAACTTCGAGGATTGTTCGAAGATGGAAGGCGAGTTAGATATTACTAACTTCAAGAATCTGAAGACACTGAGACTAGCCAGTACCAAACTAACTAAGTTAGTTCCGAACAGTGGCGACAGCAGCATCAGAACGCTTCGACACCTCAGGGAGATCGACGTGGCGGAGACCCAGTTGCAAGAACTCCCTGTCGAAATCGACAGGTTGCCGTCGCTTGAGATCCTGAACTTGATAGGCATATTCACAGCCACCCCGCTGCGGTTGAAGCTGCCTCCCAGACTTCCCACGAGCCTAAAGAGATTATCCCTCTCCTCTCGTGATGGGGTTCCGAATCTCATCGAGCTCAAGGAGCTAGAGTCTCTGAAGTTTCTCGGCTCGTGCAATCTTCGAATCCCAGGAGAGATTTGGCAGCTAACCAAATTGAAAGAATTGACTATACTGCAATCCCCGTGCGATACTCTGCTGACGACGACGATGCACCCTGCCGCCCTCCCATCTTCTTTAACAACCCTCGACGTTCAGGATTGTGGGCCTTTGAAGAGCCTTCCCAGCCTGGCGAATCTGCACAATTTGACGTTTCTCAGCCTGAAAGACCTCGAGGCACCGGAGATTCTCGGCGTGGGGGAGCTGAGAGCTCTGGAGACATTGGTGATATCGGAAGCCCCGAACCTGAAGAACCTCGACGGGCTTCAGAATCTGCTCCATCTCACGTGCTTCAGGGCGCAAACCTGCGCCGCGCTGGAGAGACTGCCAAATGTAGCGAGCTTGACCAAGCTGGGGTTACTGATCATCGGTGGGTGTCCTGTTCTCGCTGAGATCCCGGGGCTGGAGCTCCTCACAGAATCCTTGTACTTTCTAAAAATCACCGAATGTCCCAAGTTGCAGGACGTCGTGGACAGGATTCCATTCCTGTCGGCCCTGAATTTTCTGATTTTCGAAGAGCAACATTGCCCGGTGGAACGATTCCCTGACGTGTCCCGTCTCGGCGACCTGACGTCGCTGGCGATCCACGGCTGTTGGAAGCTGACGGAGGTTGCAGGTCTGGGGAGCCTGTCCGGGTCGCTGATATCGCTGACCCTGGAGGGCTGCACCTGGATGCGGAAGCTGCCGGACGGTCTGTCCGGGCTCAGGAGCCTGCAGAATCTGCACGTCAGTAGCTGCGTGCTCTTGGTCGAAGCGACGGGGATCGAGAGGCTGGCGTCGTTGCGCTACCTGACGATGTCGGATTGCTATTCGATGAAGGAGATGCCGGATCTGTCCGGGCTCGCGAGCTTGGCGGAATTGGTGCTGAAGGGATGCGTGGAGCTGAGGGAGGTGAAGGGGATCGAGGGGCTGGAGTCGTTGAGGAAGCTGTTGGTGACTGGTTGCAGGTCGCTGCAGGAATTGGGGGATCTTTCTGGGTTGAAGAACTTGAGTGAATTTGATGCGACGGGATGCGAGCTGCTGAGGGACGGTAATGGAGTCGAGGCGGGGAAGAGGGCGATGGTGAAGCGCTTTGTGGGTTCGGCGGTGAGATATGGGATGCTGCGGCTGACTCGATTTGTGGGGATCTCAGGCGGAGGAGCACCTGACGGTGGGAGTTCTTCCTAGCTAGGCTATTCCTGAACTGTTAGATGTTTTACTTCGTTCCCTGTCCATTTTTTTTGTATATCCTTCAAACATTTGTGTGCATTTCTGTCTGCTTTTGCCACTTTTAAATCTCCCATTTGTTAAGCCTTTTAACCTCTAATACGCCCCCTCAAACGAAAGCCGATGCCGAATTGTGGATTTTTACGGTTTGCACAGGTTGAACCCTTGTGCTGCCAAACCACGAGGCTTTAGTTTGCACAGGTTGGACATACCATTCCTTGTGCTAAACGAATTGGCATGAAATGGGGGTCGTTATGAGGATTCGAAACCATGACCTTTCGGTTCTAGGCTCTGATACCATGTTAGCGAACTAACCACTTGGTCCCAATAACTCGAGTTTTTGGGAAATGGATAGTTAAGCCTTTTAACCTCTAATACCATTGTTCATTTGGTAACTGTAAATTGATATGATAGGAGGACAGTCAAGTATTTTATAACGATGTATCAATTATGAGTTGAGACAATTTAGTCAAATTGCCTCGTTTTTTAACTCGTCATCTAAACGACCTCTTAGTAAATTTCTACACACAGAAGACTACTAAGCTAAAAAAACATGAGTTTTATTACAAATCAATAGATTATATAAATCCATCCTCCAAATCTCATTCTCTAGTTGACTCCTTAATGTTAGTTTGGTTGAATTTTTTTGTTTGCGTGCCAATTTAGAAATTGCGAGTATGTTTGGTTAGTGGTGAATTACTAGGTGAAAACAACTTATCAATAACTTAATCGATATCTTTTATTAGTCAACCACTAATTATTGATTTTATTGACAAAGAGGGATGAATTTCTAACTCTTTGAGACGTTGTTATATTTGAGGTTTGAGATGTTAAGAATTAAGACATTATCAGGTCTTGAATCTTGAGACCTTTTTACTTAATTAAAATGAACCATTGAGAAATTGTCAGTTAAGCCAAAGATTAAACCGTTTGACCGTCATTCCGTCAATCAAACGGATAACTGGCAAAACCGTTTACTACTTACTAGACCGGGTTAATTGAAAATTTAAAATACGGGTTAATGGGTTCATATGCCCCGACCGGTAATCATCCGGGGCTCCAACGAAAGCGAGAGTCGGGTCCTATAAATCAACCCGGCGCCAGCAATTGAAACTCCTTTAGCCCTAGCGCGAAACAACCAGTCCCTCTTCCATCGACACAATTTCTGCGGTTCTTTTCAGAGCTCGCCTTCTTCGGCGTCCGAATCTCCCCAGTTCCTGCGCTCTTGCTTAGTCTCCATATCCAGTGCCGGCATTCCGAGGTAAGTTCGAAGCAATTGACTTCCTTCTTAGAGGCTTTGTATGGACTGGAGCGGACTCTCGTAGCGTTTCTGCTGGCATCGGTTCTTATTTATGAGCTGATACGCCTTACTCTGGTCGAGTGAAGTATACACCTAAGTGGCAGAAAGTTGTTCATTGTGGGGTAGGGACTGGTGTATGATGCAGTGTTAGCTAGGTTATGCTGTTACAGAGAGCTGAAATGGAGATTAGGGTTTGCCTGTGTTGTGATTTTCTTTTGAACTGGAATGTAGTGAATATTTGGGTTGCTTCGGCATACTTGAAGCTGAAGAGTGGAATTTATCAATAGGTAGTAGTACTTCATGGGCTTCGTATAGTAAGTTGAGTTATATTATGTGTATGCTGGGTGCATGAATAGGCAATCTTAAGGTTCTAGTAGTTCCTTGGTGAATGGTGATTCTATTGCTTTGTTCATATTATAAGCAAAAGCTTTCCCGACTGTAGTTGATTCACTACTGTTTGCGTTTCAGAATCTGAAACTGTTGTCAATTACTTCACGAATGGTGTTTTCTGTTGCTTTGCAGTTGTTGGCGGTTCATGTGCGAGGTCTCCTACTGAATCGAGGAGTTAAAGAAAATGGATTTTGACGAGTATGATTACTTGGAGAAGACTGTTGAAAACCCTGAGCCTGAAAAGGCGAACGAAACTGCTAATGGAAGTGAGACGGTCAAATCTAAAGAGAAGGATCGTAGTCGGGGTTCGAAGCACAAAAGTGATGAGAGGGAGGAAGACGGCGATGATGATGAAAACCACCGCTCAAAGCGATCAAAATCAAGAGATGATACACGTGATCATGATCGTCATAGAGAAAGGGGTTCATCCCAACACCGGTCTGGATCTAGAGATAGAGAGAGGGATCGCCACAGGAGTAGCCGTGAAAGCAGAGATAAGGAGAAGGGCAGGGATAGGGAGGAACGGAATGGGAAGGATAGGGATCGAGATCGTGACAGGAAGGAACGTGACAGGGAAAGGGAGAAGGAAAAGGAGAGTGAAAAGGAGCGATCACATCGAAGTGGGAGTCGATCAGAAAGAGAGAAGAGTAAGGACAGAGAGCCTATAGAAAGGGAAAGGGAGCGAGGTGGTTTTAAAGAACGAGAAAGAGAACCTAGGTAACTTTGGTTTTATGTTCTTTATGCATACATAATGGATTTTTTTTGGATTCTCATTTATGCTACATTATAGTCATATTTGGTGGTTTATGAGTAAGTGTGCATACCTCCTTCGTTTCTAGGTCTGCTACTTATGCAGTCCATTCGGTTGTCCCAGGTAAGCTGTTCATCAGTTGGGTGGAAAATTGGCCAATGACATTTCTTTCAAGACCATCCTCCATTAACTGCAGCTTTTTAACGGTTATGTGCTTTTGGGTGCCTTTCACGATGGAAATATTTGTATAGTGCAACTTGATTTTGTACATTGCTAGTTATCATCTTTGAAGTTTAAAAGAAATCCTTGCTGTGTGAACCAACATCTCACTAGGATATGGCCATTAGTATTTTTTGAATTGCTACATTATCTTCCATAGACTTTGGCTACAACCCTCTGTGTGTATGCCCTGCATTTCAATGGGTTGGAGGTTCTTAATAATCCTTTAAGATTTAGAGGACTGCAGGAAAATGGTTTGCATGTTGGATGCTGAAGAGGATCATTTGGAAACATAATTACTTCTGATGTCCTTGTACCTGCAAAATCGATAGGTCTACTCTCGAGAAGTAGATTATGAGCCAGGATAATGGCTTACCTTGCACTTATCAGTCGTTTTGTCGATTGCCCACTGTAAACGATTCCTGGGGCCTGCGCCTATTTCTTGGCCCAGCTAGATGTTGTATTGATGGGATGATGGTCTGTGTCAGGATTCTGTGTCTTTGTGTTAGGTGCTCTAAGTAATAAATATGTTTGTCTCTACATCTCTCACTAGCAACTCTCATGTTTCTTGTGCTCTTAAGTGCTATGAAAATTCTGAATATTGAACTCTAGATTCTGGGAATCGCAGATATGCTAGAGCAATCTTCAGATGGTCATCCTGGCAATTGGGCCAGGCACAGGAACTCAGGGCATGTGTTTTAAATGTCTCTCCTAGACTGTCTCGAAAGATTAAAATGCTTGCATTGCAAGACTGAGAGTTATTGGAGGTTTCTACCAGGGTGATGATGCCATGTAATGTTTTCCATTATCATCCTTGTGGAAACTGAGATGCCTTACTATATTTGTTCTGTTGCAGAATGCTGGTGAGGGAGTTATGGGCTTTGCTTAAGACAAACAATTCATCTTCTGATGCTTGTGGAAATTCTGTGTTGAGTGGGCTGCAAAAATGGCCTAAAACTTTCTTCTGCAGGATAGATAACAGAAAAAAATTAAGCTTTGTTGTTATAGGTTGTAGATGCCAATGGTCTTGCACGTGTTTCATGACTTCTAATTCCTTCATCTGTTCCCTACTCTCATGGTTTTGTACTGCTTGATACATCTTGCACTTACTCTCTTTGGTCTCATCTTTTTTCTCAGTCATCATTTGTTCATTTCTCGATCCCCTTTAAAACTTGATAATCCATTTAAGGTGTAGGTGTTGTGTTTCTGTTGTACATCTCTGCACAGCAGGTTATACCTATGTACTGCCCTGGAAATGTTTCCAACTATTTTCATGCTGGTTCTGGACTTCATTTTTTCCTTTTTACAGTTTTGTTCGATCTCAGATTTTATGCACACATGATTTGCATGTGAACTGTTAGTTTGTTTACTATAACCTCTTTGTTCTGTCTGAGTAATGGGGTTTTTTTTTTTTTGTTATTTCGATATCTCTACTACTCTCGATACAAGTTATTAACAGTTTTCAAACCAATGCAATTAGGTCCTTTGGTATGCCAATTTGCCATTCATACAACTTGATGGTGCTCTGTCCCTATAAGATTATGTTATTATAGAAGGTACAAATTTATTTATCCATCACTGGACAATGCACCTTGTAATGACTGCTTGATCCAAGATTACCGATTCGTTCCCAGGTTGTTGTCACTAGATTGTAAAGTGGCAAATCTGGTATCAGTTGCCAGTTCTGTCATGTTTACCTCCCTTCCATCTGACTATCGTCTCCTGGAATTGACATATGATACAGTGAATAATCCTTCACCGGTTTCCATTTACCAGTTGTTTCCTCTGTAATAAAAATGAGATTTGGGGTTACAATTTGCTGGCTGTTGGTTTCTTTTCCAGACAACCTAGTACCTTCGTTGATTTTTGTGCCTAACCTGTTAACATACTTTTCGTGCAGAAGGAAGAAGGAGGATGGTACTGAGCCGGAGGCTGATCCTGAGCGTGATCAAAGGACTGTATTTGCTTATCAGGTGAAATCTTTGTTCTCTAGTTTGTTATTAGTTTCATTAATACTCTCTTTTCTATCAATTCTTTATTGTTTTGTATCTGCTCCGAGCTTAAGATTTGCATCTTTATTTTTGGCAGATATGTTTGAAGGCTGATGAAAGGGATGTGTATGAGTTCTTTTCAAGGGCTGGAAAGGTTAGTGTTGGCATCTCAGCAATTCTTTTTAAGCTGTTGATCTCCATTTTCTTTCAGGAGTTACATTTTGGATTCTGCCCTTTTCAATCCTGCTGACTGCTTGTGCAGGTACGGGATGTTCGTCTCATCATGGATCGGAATTCAAGGCGGTCTAAGGGAGTCGGGTAATTCTCATCAACTTGCTTTTAAGCTTATTTCCATTGATCTGTTTTGGCGTGGGAACTCCTAACCTTCCTCCGACTTTCAGGTACATTGAATTCTATGATGTGATGTCAGTTCCTATGGCAATTGCACTGTCCGGCCAGCCTCTTCGCGGTGTACCTGTGATGGTAAAACCCTCTGAAGCTGAAAAGAATCTTGTTCAGTCGACCGCAGCTGCTGTTGTCGGACCTGGTGGAGGGTTAGCTCCTTATTCAGGAGGGGCTAGAAGGTTGTATGTTGGCAACCTCCACTTCAACATAACAGAAGATCAACTTCGTCAGGTGAAGGCTTGCCTGTTGCAGTGCTTTAATATGTCTTCTTCTTTGACTTAGTCTACATATTCAGAATATCAGGATCACTTGCTGCTCTTTTTCGAGTTTGAATGTTATATATCATTACGAGGAACTGAGGAAGTTCTCATTTGGGTATTAAAGTAGTAGGTACCAAGCATGTTTCTTTTTGCTCTTCTGTGTTGTGGGTATCTGTTTCCACTTTTCATCCTATTTCTTTGCTTTTTTCAGGTTTTTGAACCATTTGGTGCTGTAGAGTTGGTTCAACTGCCCGTTGATGAAACTGGACATTGCAAAGGCTTTGGTTTTGTTCAGGCGAGTACACAAGACTTGTGTAATTTGATTGAGACATAGCAATAAAAAGTATTCCATTAACATTCAATATTAAATGAGAAGATGAAACTTACCTGCTATATCTGAGGTGGTTGTTTACTTCCTATGGAGAAGCCATAGGCACAAAACTGACGTGGTTCACAATCCATGCTAATTATTCTTATGCATCTCTCAGTTTGCACGTCTTGAGGATGCTAGAAATGCCCTTAATTTGAATGGGCAAGTGGAGATTGCCGGTCGCCCTATAAAGGTTCGTTTTGTCTAGCTCTCTCTCTTTCCATAATGGTTGTTGATGTCTGTGATTCTCTTTTTAACTGGTTTTTTTTTTTTTGTCGCGTCTTGCTCTGCTCTATGGTCAGGTGTCATCTGTCACTGATCAAACTGGTCAAGAGGGTGGGACAAATGCTGCTGATTTCGATGATGATGAGGGTGGTGGTTTGGTTAGTAATTCCATTGGCTCAAATAGAATATCGATTGTGCTGGTTCATATTGCCCTTTAATCTACTTAGTTTAGAAATATATCTAAAAATAAACCCTTTGGTTACGTTTTCAGGCACTAAATGCACGTTCTCGGGTAATGTTGATGCAGAAGTTAGATAGGAGTGGCACTGCTACAAGGTTTATATTCTGTTCATCTCTCTACGTGTTTTTCTTTCTGGGTGTGGATGGTGTTCCTGATGTGACTTTCTTCGTATTACAGCATTGGTGGGAATCCAGCCGTCGGTACTGGGATGACATTACCTGCTGCGCCCGCATTGGGGCCTGGTGTGATCCCTCAGACTATTGCTTCTCTCCTACCACCTGGGCTACCTGGCGCGGGTCTTCAAATCCCTGGTGCTGGAATTCCTACAATCGATACAATTGGTGTTCCTAGTGAATGTTTGTTACTAAAGAATATGTTTGATCCCCAGTCGGAGGTTAGTTTGCTTTGATAGTTTCTGTAAGTGTACTATCATAATCGTTTGCTGGTTTCACATTAACTAATGGGTTTCGTAAACTTTGCAGACGGAGCCAGACTTTGATTTAGATATCAAAGACGATGTTCAAGAGGAATGCTCGAAGTTCGGAACCTTAAACCATATCTTTGTGGACAAGTGAGTTACAACACTGTCAACACTCCGGGTGCTAATACTGGGAATTTATTTAAAAAATAAGCTACTTTTCAAGACATAGTTCTCTCTCTCTCTCTCTCTCTCTCTCTCTCTCTCTTGCTGTGCATTGCATTAAGGAGTCTGTCTTGTTGAAACAGGAATACCATGGGATTTGTGTATCTACGCTTTGACAACACACAGGCTGCAATGAATGCACAGCGTGCACTCCATGGAAGGTGGTTTGCTGGGAAGATGATCACTGCGACATACATGGTGTGCACACAAAAGATTCACCTCCTTTGTCCTGTATCCCCTGTTTCTTCGAAACTATCAGCGTAACATAATGTCCTGATCCATTTTGGGTTGTCAATGCAGGTGCCTCAGATGTACCAGCAGAAGTTCCCTGACAGCATCAGGTAGGACATTGCGTCTTAGCCTGGCTTGTGGAACACCAACAGGTAGCTTGAAGCTCATGGGTTCAATCTTAATGGTCACTGATCGACAGAATCCGCGGCACTGATATGCCCCAATATCGATCGGTGGTGCAGGATGGGTTGCTTGGGGTTGTTCGGTTTTGAGAACTGGGTGAGGGTTGATGATGGTTTTCGGGTTTATTATAGGAATTGCTGCATAGTGAGGAGGTGGTATGAAGCAATAGCTGCCTACTGCAACCAGAGATTTGTTTTGATGTTGTAGGATTTTATGTGTATTTGAGTTATTAGAATCCATCTTGTACAAGAGTATTCTTTTTGGCATTGTCCCAGCTCCCAAGTTTACCTGTTACGAGCTGCTATCTTTCGTTTTGTAATGTTCAAGACTAACTAGATACAAACCAAAATCATCTTTTGTCTTCTGCAAATTTGTCAATCTTTCAATAGCGGCGTGTAACCTGAAATACACCTCTAATCTCCGGTTTCAACTACTCGAAATCGTGTTTGCTAAATCGCCCGGCCGAGAACCAAGTAAATCTTGGTGATCCAAATGGATTTTCTTATGAATTCTGTAGTCTACATCAGCAATTTTAAGGTTAAGATGGTACATATAAAACTGCCAATCATGACAAGCTAAGATGGTACATAAACAGGTTCACCATTTTCAATACTTCTTAAATCTCAGTCTTGAGTCCACACCCTACAACCATACACTAATTAAGCATTACATTCACCACTACTTTTACATTCAGGCCAGCCACATCTTCTAAAACACATACCCTGCAACTTCAAAAATCACGCCGCCTCCCCATTTCCCCCTCAAACAAACAACAAAAGCAGCATTCCAACCAACAACGACAGCCCAGTGAACCCTGCCGTCGGGATCGAACGGTGAGCTCGGGCAAAGCTCCCGCCTGGAGTCCCAGTACTAAGCACAACCACCATCCAGTCGTCCTCCGAACCGAGCCCCGCGCCGACAAACCGCGTGTCGTTGATGTACCTCGCGAATTGGGTCTGAGTGTAGTTCGTCAGGACGAGGGTCGGCACCAGCTTACTGACACAGACCGGCAGCACTACACCCTCCCTCGTGTTGTTCATCCCAATGCCACACTTGTCCATCGAGTCGGCATAGTTGCTGAGCTGGGCAACTGCAATACTTCTCCCCGCGGGGCAGGGCTGGTCTTCTAGCTTCTCGGCTATCTTGTCAGCCAAACACCCTGCCTTGTCGTTCTTTGCCAGGATCGGGAGGTTCTGAGACTGCCTGTAGCTGTTCAGCCCTTGGAGAAGATTGTTCTCGTCGTCTGCATATACATAAAATAATGTCATCTGATTGCAAGAATGGAAAGATCCAAACTTTGTAATGGAAGCAAAGGAAATTAATCAATCAATAAGTACCATCCTTAGATTGGACAACAGTGAAAGACAGCAAGAGGAAGGCTTGAAGGAGGAACCAGAATAAGAAGGTTGATCTTCTGTAACTAGCCATGGCTGAAAATGAGAAGATTCAGGATCCCAACAGGGTAATAATAAGCGTACATGCTCCACCTTATTATATTATCTCTTGAGGATGCAGGAAAAGCTTACAAGTGCCCTTAGTCTTTTGCCACTAAATTGACAGATGTACAAAAACCCAAGTAGCTTCCACCTGGCAACCATGCAAGCAGGATTTTGACTCTTTGTTAGCCCACGTCAGGAACTCCACCAAACATTCCAGATTACTACACTAGAAAGAAGAAGAAGAAGAAAAAAGAGATTATGCATTTCAGTATCCAACAGAAGAGTCCATCTTGATCTGATCTCAAACGAGAGAGAACATCTAAGAACATCGTCCTGTTTCCACAGACGTGTCGCTGAATGCGACTGTTTCACCACTTAGACACTCCAGCTTCCTGCCACCTACATCTCCACGTGTCGTCCCTGCCTTTCCCTTTAAAGAGAGAATGCCCTTCTTCCTCGCTTAATCAGCTACAAAAAGGGCATGTTGCTGTCTAGGAAGTTAACGTCGTCGATCTCCACGTCTCGATCTGTCATCCCATTGTTCAGAAGTTACCACAAACCAGCACTACTCCCGGCTCTATCATTCCCTTCGCAGAGAAGCTCCAACTCGTGTCAGACTGTGAGAATGGCTTCAGGTGGCAGCGATCGGACCTTTCCTCCTCAGCAGCAGAAGGATCAGCCTGGGAAAGAACATGTTATGGACCCCACCCCTCAGTTCTCCAGCCCTGATTACAAGCCCTCCAATAAGCTTCAGGTTAATTCTACCCCTTCTTCCTAAAATGTTTGGAGATGGGGGAAAAGGAATCATCTGTAAAGCTCATGTCTTTTCTAAACTAGTCAAGAACCCACAACTTTTAACATGCCAATTGAGCTACTCTAGTCTCCTACTATGCAAGCAATTGAACCAGAGTTTTGGGGTTAATGGTGGATCATGCTTACACTGCAGGGGAAAGTGGCGCTGGTGACGGGAGGAGACTCGGGAATCGGGCGAGCAGTCTGCCACTCCTTCGCCCTGGAAGGCGCCACAGTTGCCTTCACGTACGTGAAGGGCAAAGAAGACAAGGACGCAGCAGACGTCCTCCAGCTGCTGAAGAAGGCCAAAACCCCCGACGCCAAGGAACCCATCGCCATCCCTGGCGACTTGGGATTCGACGAGAACTGCAGGAGAGCCGTCGACCAGGTCGCCAACGCATACGGCAGGATCGACATCCTCGTCAACAACGCCGCCGAGCAGTACGAGTCGAGCACCGTCGAGGAAATCGACGAGCCGAGGCTCGAACGCGTGTTCCGTACCAACATCTTCTCCTACTTCTTCATGACCAGGTAAATAATAACTAATCAAAATCCATGCCTTCTTCTCTGAGACATTTCGTCAAACACATTGTCGGCATGGTTTCCTGACCCTCTTTTGCTCAATTTTCATTCCCCTCACAGGCACGCTCTGCAGCACATGAAGGAAGGGAGCGCGATAATCAACACCACGTCGATCAACGCGTACAAGGGCAACGCCGAGCTGCTGGACTACACGGCCACGAAGGGCGCGATCGTGGCGTTCACCCGCGGGCTGGCGCTGCAGCTGGTGCAGAAAGGGATCCGAGTCAACGGCGTTGCCCCAGGTCCGATTTGGACTCCGTTGATCCCGGCGTCGTTCCGGGAGGAGAAAGTGACGAGCTTTGGGAAGCAGGTGCCGATGCAGAGAGCCGGGCAGCCGGTTGAAGTGGCGCCGTCGTATGTTTTCCTCGCCTGCAACCATTGCTCGTCTTACATCACCGGCCAGGTCCTTCACCCCAATGGTACGTCCCAATTTCTTTTTTAGTACCTTCTTCTTACCACCTTCAAATCATGAGACGATTTGATCATGGTGTGCTGTGATTTTTATTTGCAGGTGGTGTGGTGGTGAATGGTTGAAGTTCCGAGATCATGGTGGGATTTTCTGTTGTTTGAGGTTTTAAGATCTGGAAGACGCATCAGCTTGTAGATATGGAGAAATAAGAGCCTGATGTAAAATGTAGAACAATGTGATGGAAACGGATAACGGTGCCTTTTATGCTTTAGTTTGCCAGACTTACTCCATTTGAGCCTCTTACCATAACTGTAGGCTTAATCAAACTACAAGCTCGATTACGATGCATCGTCTGCTCAACTTACGACACAAACACAATCGTTCTAACCCAAGATAGCTTTGACGCTAGCGATTCGGTTCTTAAAAGACTCCCCAATTGCATCCTCCACATTAGCATCTTACTTGAAACTAGGGTTGTCATTTCGGTTGTCAGTTAGTGGCTAACTGGCCGGTCTAATACGGCTAACCGGAAATCGAAAAATAGAGGGCGCGGTCGGTTGGCGGAATGGGTCAATGTCTGAACAATTGATCACATGGCACTGTAACAAACGAAAAACCACTATGATAATTAGTCAAATAGGTAAATATGCTCGGAAAGGCTGTCTGAATCATGAGAAGCTTGAATTTCATGAAGTCTATCAATGTAGGAAAAAGGGAGAAGGGAAAACAATAGACCGCAATTGGAAAAACCATAACATAGTTGAAAAGCCCATTCTATCATCCCTAGAACCATACTCAACGACGGCGGCCATAATCTTGTCGGCGAAATCATTATTAACGTTTTGATATAAACTCTTAAGGCATTCATTTCGATACTCAATGACGGCGGTCATAATCTTGTCGGCGAAACCATTATTAACGTTTTGATATAAACTCTAAGGCATTCATTTCAGATAATGTAATTGGAAGTCATTGAGGAATATCTTATGAACATCATGATGTGAAAACGTAAACCATTACTAAATATTTTAAAGATCAATGATAATGTTGTATAACTTCAATAATTCATTCATAAATGTAGATGACGAAAATGTAAATCATGGATCTCACCACGAAAGCAAGTAGGAAAAAATATACTGGAATAAAGAAATAAGTAAAAAATTCCGTGATGACCGTCTTGCATTTCTCGAAGAAGTGATTCGATTGATGGGATTTGGTATGATACTTATGACTCCCAATTAGGTCACTAATCTGCAATTTAACACCTCAATATTTTTAGCCCTACTTTCATCTTATTTTTCCCTAACCGATCTCGGCCCATACGTTATATCTTTTAGGCCCATGTCCTGCGCGCAAAAAGCCACCACCGGGTTATCCGACGTCGTTCCACCGGCAATCCCCTCTCCATTCCTCCATCGTATTCGCAACATTCTGACTTGAAGCCAAAGAAAAACATACAAGAAAAGCTCAGCTCGGAGAAGAGTACTGTTTTGCTCTTTCAATCGCTGTTTCCTGTTCGTCGAAGGCAATTCTCGGTCAAGATGAGTACAGCGCCAGCTCAAGATGTCGAGATGAAGGAGACTCCGGATCCGGCGTCAGCTCCGTCCAATTCAGCTACCTCCGCCGCGCCGTCGGCTCTCCAACGTGAGTTCGCATTACTGATTTTGGTTTGTTCGAGATTTGGGGAGAGGAAGAAAAACTGGGGCTTTATGTTGTCTTGTGTTTTGGGTTTCGTCTAGATTTGAAGGAGATTGCTTCGTTGATTGAGACTGGGGCGTATGCTCGTGAGGTTCGGAGGATTGCGCGGGCCATTAGGCTGACGATGGCACTGCGGCGGAAATTGAAGACCTCGGTGGTGTCGGCTTTCCTCAACTTCGCGCTCACTCCTGGATCAGAGGCGCACTCGCGTTTGTCATCTTACCTTCCCAAGGTGATTTAATGGGGCTTGTTGTGAGTTCGTCGTGTTGATGATAGTCCAACTAGTGGCTCACTGTGTGGATTACCTGTGAATTGGGTTGGTGGGTAGGGAAGAAGCTTTGTGCCTTGTGGTTTGTTCTGTATACTTGGATCTCTTTATCACATTATCCCTACCAGTTATGAAGTTCAGTGAAACCAACTGCAAGATCTTGTTTTGGTAATTGGCATTACTGCGGATCACCCTTTCCTTGCTGTGTGCTTCTCCAGCTTTACTAGGCAATATTATCCAAATTGATTGGTTATATAGACGTAAAGTTGCGTGATGAACTCTGGCTTCACCATTCGAGGGGGGTTTAGCCGGGGTAGTAGTTTCTTTGTTGGTGAATTTGAAACTTAGCTGGTAGTTTTATTTTGGGTTGCAGGAGGATGACCATGAAATGGAGGTTGATACTGCAACGTCTGTAGTGCAAGCTCCTGTGAAGCATTCCCTTCCCGAGCTGGAGATATTTTCTTACTTGCTGGTCTTGATTTTTCTGATTGATCAAAAGAGATACAGTGAGGTAAGTCACCATATAACTGATTTCAGAAATAGAGTCCATTTCATTCAGCTTCTATTACTGATATACTCATCACGTGCTTTCGTGTTTCAGGCTAAAGCTTGTTCATCAGCAAGCATTGCAAGGCTTAAGAACATTAACAGAAGGACTGTTGATGTCTTAGCATCGAGGCTTTATTTCTACTACTCCCTCAGTTACGAGCACACTGGTGACCTTGCTGAAATAAGAGGGTGAGTTGCATATTCTCTTGAAATGTCAATTAGCCTAACTTTTGGGTGTCTTCTTTTTGGTTGTACTTACATTTAGATGCTGAGATTTTTCTTACGTTTTGCCTAACTTGCTCTTTTCTTATTTGTAGTAACCTGCTTGCACTTCACCAGATTGCTACATTGCGCCATGATGAGCTGGGTCAGGTACATTTTCCAATGCCAGGAATCATGGTGTTTTGCCTTTCAGATTCCTGATTCACGTTTTCACAAAATAACTTCATTATGCAGGAGACACTTCTCAATCTGCTGCTACGCAATTACCTCCACTACAATCTGTATGATCAGGCAGAGAAGCTGAGGTCCAAGGCTCCCCGATTCGAAGCCCATTCAAATCAGCAGGCAAGCAATACTCTAAATTTATAAACTTCTATTTTCTGTCTGATATCGAGGGTTTTATTGCATATAGTACCAGGTTTCTTTTGGTTGCGCCTTTGATTGTTTTTACCGTCCAACTCTGTTCCACATTTTGCAACATAACATCCACGAGGTCTGGAGGCAATATCAACGAAGTCCAGGTCACATTAAAACTTGGATAGGCTTAATTCAGATAGAAAACACACTCTTGATACTTCTAATCTTTACGTAACCAGCAATACTCAAGGCCTCAGCCTTCTTCTCAATCAATGCAATCATCAAACCGGACTTCCACTAATTTATGAAACCAGTGGAAGCTGTGTTTTTGAATTGTTGGTAAAATAACATGAAGGAATGATACGAGCAACTGCACAGAGATTTGCTTGATATAGAATGCTACTAGTATAGTTTTCATATTGTAAACAGAATGAATTATATACTTCTACGCCTTTTTATTGATTAAATTAGTGAATAATGTCTACTGAAATTTTGTTGCAACATGAGTGAACGGGGACTCCAGGATGCGTTTTCATGATAGAGATGTCAGAAATGTGGGTTCCTCCATGTTTGTTCTACCATTCTCACTTCAGCCCTTCTTCTCTATGGCAGTTCTGTAGGTACCTATTTTACCTGGGGAAGATTAGGACGATTCAGTTGGAATACACAGATGCCAAGGAGTCCCTCCTACAAGCTGCTCGGAAAGCCCCCATTGCAGCCCTTTGCTTCCGCATTCAGTGCACTAAATGGGCTGTCATTGTCAGATTGCTGCTAGGAGAAATCCCTGAAAGGACCGTCTTTATGCAGAAAGGCATGGAGACTGCTTTGAGGCCTTACTTTGAGTTGACAAATGTGAGTAACTTTCTTGTCTGAACTCAAGTTCTTGATTGACATGCATGACAGTGAAGCAAGAGAACTAATGAGGGTTCACTCTTGCGATTTCCCGATCTCACAGGCTGTCAGAATAGGGGACTTGGAGCTCTTCAAATCTGTGGCAGAGAAGTTCTCAGAGACCTTCAGCTTGGACAGGACCCAAAACCTGATTGTCAGGCTGCGCCACAACGTCATCAGAACTGGGCTCAGGAACATCAGCATCTCCTACTCTCGCATCTCGTTAACTGACGTTGCCAAGAAGCTGAGGCTTGACTCCCCAAACCCTGTGGCTGATGCAGAGAGCATCGTCTCCAAGGCAATCCGAGATGGAGCAATTGATGCGACGATCGATCACGCTAAGGGGTGGATGGTGTCGAAGGAGACGGGGGACATTTACTCAACAAACGAGCCACAGATGGCATTCAACTCGAGGATTGCCTTCTGCCTCAACATGCACAACGAAGCTGTCCGTGCACTCCGCTTCCCTCCCAACTCCCACAAGGAGAAGGAGATTGCTGAGAAAAGGAGGGAGAGACAGCAGCAGGAGCAGGAGCTCGCCAAGCACATTGCTGAGGAGGATGATGATGAGTTTTAAGAATTAGGAGGGATCTTAGGTCCATTTTCTCAGTTCCATTAATTTCTTGTACTAGCAGGTGCACAGACAGAATCACCTGCTCTTTGGAATTTGGTTTTACCTTCTCCATATCATTATCAACTATCTCTTTGTACGAAATTTTCAGATTTCGAGCATCATTATCCGTTCCAGTTTGCAAATCAGTGAGATATTTACTTGTACTACACCGAGAGTTTTGGACTTTGTTTTGACGATGCCAAAGGGTAAAAAGTAAAAACAATGTCATGAAGTTGCTCCATATCATATATCAACTATTTCTTTGGTACAAAAATTCAGATTTCAAACATTGTAGCAAAATCCAGGACAACGAAATGAAGGAGCAAGATTACACTTAAGTGTCAACTTGTTTCATCAAAGCTTCCTGAATATACAATCAACCAGTTGAGCTCAGACCAAATGACTTGACAATGTTGCTAACTCTCTCTGCGAAAGTCCTCGATGTGATCTTTTTACCCGGTACGTGGAAGGGGTTTGAGACTGCGTCGACATATGCAGCATGGAACCTCCGGAAAAACTGCAACGCGATTTCATTGAACAGTCTAAAGTGAGAAGCTGTGACAAGTCATACCTAGCCAGTGGCCACTGGGGTGGATAGTACATTTATCAGCTTAATCATCTTCTAAGAATAATGCAGCAAGCCAGATACTCAAATTACAGCAGATCAATATACTCTGGGAACACGAAAAATGGATTCTAGTCCCTCTTCCATGCAACAAGTCTGAACTAGGGGGAGCAGAAATGCAATTGCCAAACCTTCATGTTCTCGCATGGAAAATCTAGACGCTTTTCGAGACAACAAGGAGAGGTTATCAGCTTAAGCAACCAATACCTCTCACAACAACAGAATCGCCTCCCTTTCAGAATAAACAACCCCAATACCTCAGCTATATACTTCACAATCTAGTACCACCGAAAGAATCGTGAAATGCCATTCACAGCAGAACTACAGAGGTAGAAATCTGTATGACCACCAGCATACTCCCCCTAATAAACCATCCTAGCAAGTCTATGTTCAAATTTTCATATGCCCAATTTGCAAGAAAAGAGATCCGACACATGAAATCTTCAACTATTAACAGCGAGAACGCCCAAAATCCAATCTTTTGAGAAGGGTGTATGGCATTACTTACATTTCTCACATCCACATCTCTGACGTCTAAATCCGTCGTCACCAAGATGAACTTCACCTTTGTGTTAGTCAGATATCCATACCTGAAACACGAAAGCAAAATTCAATAAGCAAACTTTCCTAAATGGAATCAACCAGAAAAACATTCGAAACAGGATGCTTACACTTTGTAATTCTCAGTTGGATACAGCAATCCTAGAAACGTTTCGTTCAGAGTCGGCCCCGATTTCTTCGGGTTATTCACTGGATTCAGTTCCAGATCCACGCATTAGGTAAAATAAAATTTCATGTGGAAAATGAAAAGAAGGGTATAATCTCTAGATCGGGATCGGGATTCCGGCGGCATTTTACCTCGCTCATCGACGACGTCGAGGGAGCAGTGGACGATGTGATGGAGCTTCAGCGCATCGTCGGCCTCCGTGAAGCTCTGGATGTACAGGGGATTGTTCTGATGGCCGACGACGGCGACGCAGACGATCATCTCCACCGATTGAGGGTTTTTTTTTTATATCCTGAGTCGCTGCCGAGTTTTGGTTTTTCAGTCGGAGTGACGCTGCTCTCCGATCAGGCTTTGGGGCGTGTATTGACTTGAGAGAAGGAATGTTGATGTGGTGCGGGCAAGCGTAGCGAACCTTACCGAGTACCCGCTTGCTTGTTAATTTCCACTCTTTTTATCCAACGGATGAAGAAAAAAAAAAATTGGGCTAAGCCTAAGAATCATTTGTCAAATAAAAAGAAATTTTTTGTTCATCCAAAATAAAAAAAAAATTTGCCTGGAAATGAGTTAATTTGAAGATCGAATTTTTTTTTTCTGGATATACATCATTGTTTTGCTTTAAGATAGTAATTATTTTCATAATAAAAATTTGATAAATGTCAAAAGAAAACCGATTTTATCTTATAGAAATTTAACTACCTGCACCATCTTCAAACAATAATCTCATAAGATTTTGGGTATTTTCATGTAAAGAAATTGAAGATTAATATTCAACTCTCGAAGGACATGGATGATCAGGATGATGAGCAACAAATAAGGTATTGAGATTACCTGGTGAGTTGGTGTGTATGGTACATAGTTACATATTAGATACTCAGGAGGTCATTTTCTAGACTAAAATTTCGGCATCCTCACAACTCACGGTCACATCACAGGTTATGATAAATATTGTTTTTCTTCAAACTCGCAATTCGTGTTATAAAACCGTTCGCAATAAAATCTATTGGGTTCTCGGTGCAAACTCATGGGGATAAGTTAGTTGTTAATAACATAACATCTTGTCGAGAACGAATTATCATCTGTTTCGGATTGCTTGGAAGTCGTTATGAACTTTTGATTTTATCAAAATTACTGCTTATAAATTGCCAGCTCTAAATTACCTTTATAGAGTTGGTCCTTAGCGTCTCATATTTTTTTTGTTCATATTTCTTTCGTATCTCATATACTCTTTTCAGTCGTAGTGAAACGTAAACCCCCGCAGCAGCTAATGCATCCCTCTCAAATGTGTAGATTAAATTCTTGTTCCCGAAACCAATACATCTTGATCTGACCAAGTTTGTACCATGCTTGTTTAACAAATGAAACAAATAGATATTTTTCCATTAAAAACACATTAATTTGATTATAATAAGTTTGAAATTTTCTCAAGGCACCACCAAAGAACTCTTTCTAGGTTTAGAATACCTTCTTCATCAAGGTTTATGTGCACCATGAAAGAAACATATTTCCTTGGAACACATATGGTTTTAGGGTTTTTTGTATTCCTTGTCCCCAATGTACTCCTCCCAATCCCTTTACTTAAACTCCATATTATGCCAAATAATTACCTCTCCTACTCCTTAATCAACCCGGATTTCCCACTTAACAAAACTTTTCCTCAATCGGGTAACCAAATCCAACGGCCAGGATCAGCTCACCAGTAAAAGCGCTGAAATCGAGCTCATCCACCCTATGTTAAAAAGCAAAAAAGCTCACAAAATAAAAAAAAATCGACAACACTACGGTTTACGAAATTACAAAATCACCCCCAAGGCACCGCTTCTCTCTCAACCTCCCCCATTTTTATGATTCTTCTTCTTCGCCTCCTCCTGCCTTTCTCCCTTTTCTCCATCTCCTCTCAGCGATCGGAATTTGTAGTCCGACGACGACGCGGAGAGTCGGCCGGTGAACTCCGTGCAATATATATAAAGAGCGAAGGGAACCCAGCTCGTAATCGCGTGGAACAGGGAATCAAGCTCTGTTTTTTTTAATGATTTAATATAGTCTTCCACAATCTTTTGCTCCGTTTACTTCCATCGGGTTCTCGCAGACGATAAGGTAATGCGTTGTTTTTGTTGCTTGGCGATTGAGGGTTTGATCGGCTGAGCTGGTTCAATCGAGAGTTGGGTCGATGGTGGGGTTTGCTTCTGTTTTTCGTGCCAATGGGGTTCTCGGGAGCTGGTATATGATGGAAGAATCGGGTGGAATATGCTTCGTGTTTATTGGATTTATTGTGTTGTGCGTCACTTTTTGATTTTGGTGGAGGTTGGTTTTTCAGGATGGTATTGCCGCATTGGTAATGCTTGTTTGGGCTTCTTTTTAGCTCGGTGGTATTTGTTAGTGATTCTCAGCTGAAATCTATTGGCATGAATTGTTTGATTGTTTCGAATTGAATCTGTAAGTTCATTTGTTTTGTGTTGCATAGAGTTGGAAGAGTTGTGGAACGTTTATGTATGGGGGGTTATGCTTGATTACAACTAAGTTTTGACTTGGATTTCTGGGGTATGTATCTTATATGAATTTGACCTAAAGGGTTTGTCTTGGAGGAGCTTTAGAGCATATTAATGAAATTGGACGGATTCTTGAATGATCGGGACTTTATAAGATAAAGGAGTAGTCTTTAGCTCTGAATGCCTTTCTTTTTTCCTTTCTTTTCTTGATAAATTTCTCCTACTGTTCTCAACGTAGTTTGTATTTTGTTTTCAGATGGGAAGCAAACAAATTGATACTGCTACAAATGCTACTGATTTGAACTCCATTGTCGACAACAATGTCGTAAATGATTGTGTTCCTACTAGTGATAGCGAGAACAGTCAAGTTCACAAATCCGATGAGGCTGTCAGGACCTTGCACAAGGTGGCATACGTTTATAGGCAAGATGTGGTAAAGCACAGGAAAACTGGTATTATAGGGATAGTAGATGAGGTGGCGGGTGACTCTGATTCAGATAGTAGCATCACTGATGACGATGACGACGATGATGATGAAGATGATGGTCTTGACGAGGAGGAGGATGGTCAAGGTGATACTGCTGAAGGCTGTACCAACAATGACAATGAGAATAGTGACCAGAAGAAAACCGGAGGAAACCGTAAAAAAGAAGCGCTGCAGGCTGATCAGGTTCGAGTACTTTGGATGCACGAAATGGAACAAGTGCAGAGCGTTAATGATGTAAAAGTCATCGATCGGGGTTTCTTGCACGGTGATTATTGTGCTTCTACTTCAGATCCAACTGGGCAAGTAGGAGTTGTGGTGGATATCAACGTCTCTGTTGATTTGTTAGCTCCTGATGGCGTCGTAGTGAACAATGTATCATCCAAAGACTTGAAGCGGGTAAGGGAGTTTGCCGTAGGTGATTATGTAATACTTGGCCCTTGGCTCGGTCGAGTTGATGATGTCATGGACAATGTGACTGTTTTAGTGGATGATGGTTCGGTCTGCAAAGTATTGGGTGCTGAACCACTCCGTCTCGAACCTATTTCCAAGAAGTTCTTCGATGAAGGTGATCATTTCCCTTACTACCCTGGGCAGCGTGTCAGGGCCAGCTCATCCTCGGTATTCAAGCATTCCCGGTGGTTATACGGTTTGTTTAAGCCTAATAGATTAGAAGGAACTGTTACCAAAGTCACAGCAGGATCTGTATTCGTCTATTGGATAGCTTCTGCTGGCTACGGTCCAGATTCTTCAACAGCACCTGCCGAAGAGCAGAACCCTAAAAATCTAAAACTGCTGTCTTGCTTTGCTCATGCCAATTGGCAAGTAGGAGATTGGTGTCTTGTTCCCCCAGCTGTTTTAAAATCATCCTCCATCACTACAGACAGCGAATTATCCAATTTAGGACTCTGTGATTCGGCGAAAGATAAATTGATTTCTAGTCAACTAGGAAAAGATTGTGAGCCTGAAGAAGTTCGATTAGAGGAATTGGGTGACAGTAAGGAAGCCATGAGCATCGATCCTGAGGTGCCTCCTAGTGGAGATACCACAGCTAAAACTGGAAGTAACAAAGAGTGTCAGGAATCAAGCTCCTGCAGTAGTTCTGCATCTGTTTCAAAGGAGCCAGTGCATGAAACCTGGCCACTTCACCGCAAGAAGATACGTAAAGTTGTAGTTAGGAGGGAAAAGAAGCATCGAGCAAAGGAAGAAAAGTTTGAAAGTGCATTTCTTATTTTCAATACAAGGACAAGTGTTGATGTTGCTTGGCAGGATGGAAGTTTGGAACGTGGAATAGATTCCACCAAATTAATTCCGATCGATAGTCCTGGCGATCACGAATTCCTCTCCGAACAGTATGTGGTGGAGAAGGCACCTGATGATACTGAAGATAACAATTCTTCTGAAGTAAGACGAGTTGGGGTGGTGAAGAGTGTTAATGCAAAGGAAAGAACGGCACTTGTAAGATGGTTAAAACCAGTCACTAGGGCTGAGGATCCTCGTGAGTTCGACACGGAGGAAATCGTGAGTGTGTATGAGCTTGAGGGGCATGCTGATTATGATTATTCTTATGGAGATGTTGTTGTGAGATTGTCTCCAGTTTCGGTTTCTTCACAAACTATCGTTGATCAGCAGCCCGTCTCTCACGAGCCAGAGCAACAAAATTTGATGGATGATGATGCTTTGAGTACTGAGGAAGGTGCAGAGAAATCAGAGTTTGTGATACCTGGGGAGGAAGCTAGTAACATGGACTGCTACTCAGATCTCTCGTGGGTTGGGAACATAACTGGTCTCCACAATGGCGATATTGAGGTGACATGGGCTGATGGAATGGTCTCTACGGTAAATTTTCCACCTTTGGTCCTCATATAATTTCTTTCTTCTTTTTCTGGTGCTGTTAATTAACCCATCGTTTTATCATTAGGTTGGACCTCAAGCTGTTTTTGTGGTTGGCCGTGACGATGATGAGTCTGTTGCTGTTGGTAGCGAAGTGAGTGATGATGGTGCTAGTTGGGAAACAGTTAATGATGATGAAGATGGCGATGAAGATGAGATGGATGCCCTTGAGAATTTTGAAGAGGTTCGTTCAGTTTCCCAGCACACTTGTTATTGATAGTTAACAAGTGTGGATTAGTTAAAGCGAACTTAAATTGCTCATATTAATAATGTAACCTGTAATTGCTGGATTATTGTCCTTGACTAAGTGAGGCTAGCTTTTTGGTTTCAGGAAGAACGGTTGCAAAATGCAACCAACATGAACTCTGACGCTGAGGACAAAGTGGAGAATAGCAGTACTGGAAGAAGTCCAGCAGTTTCACTGTCCTTGGCGGCATTTGGCTTTGTTACAAGATTGGCTACTGGAATATTTTCACGTGGGCGGAAAAGTTCAGATGCAGAGCTACTAGAGAACAGAAATGAATCTGAATCTCAGGGATTGATCTCTATTGTTGAAGAAAGAAATTCCAGTGATGCTTCTGGCTCCCAGAAGTCTAATGTCAGTGGTTCTGAAAGTCCACATAGGGAGGACAAAGTAAATGGGCTTATGGAAGTTACTGCATCACCACAACCTTTAGACGAATCGAACGTTGAGAACACAAATACAGCATTGAAACATGTTGAGGAGGATGCAAGCAAGTTCAAACGGTTTGACACGGCAAAAGATCCTTCTGACCATTATTACGTGGGATCAGTTGGACAGGTATTACCCTGGTTATATAGAGCAATCCATATGTTAAATGGTGTCCTGAGTAAGCACCAAAATATGATATATGTGGCAATTTAAAACAGTTTTTAATGCAGTTAATGAGGTTTGGTTTACATAACTTGCAGTCTAACAATAGCCGGAAGTGGTTGAAGAAGGTACAGCAGGATTGGAACATTCTTCAGAACAACCTGCCAGGTAAGCATTGTGGTGGTAGGCTTCTTTCCTGCTCATGATTGCACAAGTTTGACTATGTCCTAATGTTGCTTTAAAAATGTGGCAGATACTATCTTTGTACGGGTATACGAAGATCGAATGGATCTTTTGAGGGCAGTAATAGTTGGTGCATATGGAACCCCTTACCAAGATGGGTTGTTCTTTTTCGATTTCCACCTTCCGCCAGAGTACCCTGATGTTCCACCGGTAAAAAAGCTCGACTTTTCTTTAATACTGTCATCTCGATTCCAATAGACCAACCTGTTCTTTTATATTGTTAATGGATTAGTATATAATTTGTGTTCGGTCTTGCAGTCAGCATACTATCATTCTGGTGGTTTGAGAATAAACCCGAATCTTTATGAAGAAGGCAAGGTCTGCCTTAGTCTTTTGAATACTTGGACCGGCAGAGGGAATGAAGTTTGGGATCCGAATTCTTCTAGTATCCTGCAAGTCCTCGTTTCACTTCAAGGACTGGTGCTGAATTCTCGGCCTTATTTCAATGAAGCTGGATATGACAAGCAAGTTGGGACTGCTGAAGGAGAAAAGAATTCACTTTCGTACAACGAGAACACGTTCTTACTGAGCTGCAAGTCCATGATGTATCTCATGCGAAGGCCTCCCAAGGTAACAATTCCTTATGACCATTTTTTGGTTAGTGGTCTTTGATTTGATTTCTAGTATGGTTCCTGATTCTGTTGCAAAAATATTCCACATTCAGGATTTTGAGGAGCTTGTGAAAGAGCATTTCAGGAATCGCGGTCGATACATTCTCAAGGCGTGTGATGCATACATGAAAGGGAGTCTGATTGGGTCTCTTAAGATTGATGCATCTGTAAGCGACGACGCTAGTTCCAATTCGAGCTCAGTTGGTTTCAAGATAATGCTCGCCAAGATTGTTCCCAGACTGTATTCATCACTGAGTGAAATGGGAGCCGATTGTGAAGAGTACAAGCATTTGCTACAGTTGTAGCAGACTGCTAGGAGCATGATCTGATTTTTTTTGCCGTCGACCTTCCTTCCAACATTTGTGGAAGCCAAAAGTCGAATGAAAAAAGGGGAGAAGGTTTTTCTGTCTCTGGATTGAATGGTTGTGCTTTCAAAATCACAGATAACTTGTAAATTCAGATTGGCTTTCTCAACGAGCCTCTGTTAGTTTTAGGATCATGCCAGGGGCAAGCTTTAACTGTGTTTCTTCTGTCATCTGACATGATTGGAAAGGAAAATTTCTATTTTATACAATTTGTTTCATTCCTTCTCTACTTGAATTGGGAATATTGCTTGCTTGACTGCATAGTTTGAAGTCTCTTCTCTGGGATCTTGAAGACCAAAAGGACTTTGGTTTCTTCTATGTTATGGTATTGTAGTTTAAGGGAAAAGTATTCCACTTGAATTGTAATCAAGGGATCTTGGCGTTTAGGAAATGAGTGTCAAGAACACCTTCTTCCTTTGTACCATTATTACTGCTGTATTCCTCAGAAAATGCTCAAAATGATAGTACTTTTCTTCTCTTGATTAGTCTCTTAACTTTGCTAATAGCCAATTGATGGCAGCAAAGAACTTTCTGGAAATTAACTGCAATATTCGACAGATTTACTTATCTAGAAACCAGTAAGGCAGAAGCTAAGCCCTTCTTTGCCGCAGAGCACCACAGGCTGTGAGCAGAACCCGAAGAGCGCAAATGCAATGGGTTAGGTACTCTAGAGAGAGATTTCAACAGGTTTTAGGGTTCTGCACGGCTAGCATTTTTAAGACGAGTGAAAATACAGAGGCGAAAAAGACTAAAGAACAGTTGCAGTTCTAATGATGAGGGCAAAAACAACTTGATCCCAGAAAGCGATAACCATCCAATAGTAGACCCATATGGAGTGAACAACAGACACATAGTATAGCGTACATACAAGTCCACAAACTCCTAGTCTAGGTGCTGTGTACTTGCAGAAGGCATGCTCATGTAAACAGCAAATGATCTCCAGTTATCGAACAATACCAGCAGCTTCCTCAATACATCATGTACATGTAAATGCTTCAAATGTACATGATGTACAAAGATCATTACCAGCTGTGAGATTCGGGATCATCAAATGATGCACTCTGCAGACTGCCGAAAACAACCCATTTGCATCCATCCATTCTGTGAACCAAACCTACGCCTAGTACAATAAGTATACCTAGGGTTACATGTAACTCGCAAGTATCTTGCACTTCTAGGACCCTATCCCGCTTCGAAAATCCCAATTACCACCGAATGAGAACCAGGCAGATCAATATGCATCCAGTTCAGCATATTGATCAATACTTAAACGTCAAAGAGCACCCTAGATTCATATATGATGTTTGTTAACGAGCTCCTAGGGCACGAGGGCAAATCAATTGGTTCATATAGCAACAACAGAGTAGGAAGGATTAAACCGGAAAGCTAGAATCTTTCCCTGTTATTCTTGAAATCCAGAAAAAAGGCACAACAAAGTATGCACAGCAAAACCACATATGGATATCTGCTATTGTCGTAAATTCTCAAATCACTACTCAAAGAACCATTATCAGCAATTCTCTTGTGTTCTAAAGGCTACCCAAAATCACTGGAAGCAACACGAAGTGAATAGAATAGAAAAGAAGTACAATTCGAAGCTCACACAGTGTTCCTGATCATTCCTCTCCTGGCCAAAGCCCTGGCAATGGGAGGCGTCAGCGCGAGGGTAATCGGGACCCGAATCGGGAACAGAGCCTTGTTGAAAAGCAACGCCAGAGCCAGCGCGCCGCCGCTGGAAGCAGCGAGCTCCGCTACCCGACTCCTCCCCTTCGTCTCCTCCTCGCCGGTCACCACCACCGTCCTCGATTCCGCCGTCGGCCGATGATGCGCCTCCACTTCAATCGGCCGTGCTTGCTGCTCCTGGACTTGCTCGGCGGTGGAGGATTCCTTGCTCGATAGCCCCGGGAGATGGAGCTTGTCGAAGACCGACTCGACGTCGACGTTGTTCCTCACGGCGACGTAGAGGCCCGTGATGGAAGCGGCGGAGACGGAGAAGTGAACCCCTAGTGCCACTTTCCCGTACTTCTTCAGTAGCTCTCTGAATCGCCCGCCCGCCATTGATGTGGAATCGCTTTTCCCGTCCGCTTTTCTGCTTGAGAAGAGAGAATCGAATGAAAGCAAGGGTTTTTCGTAGGGCTTTTCACTGTTCGAGTAATGTACTGAAGCTGAAATTTGAGAAACGGGTCTCGTCTTCTAGCAACTAGCAAGGGAAGTAGAGTGAGAACTTGGACGAAGGGTCAAGAAAAACTTACTAAACGACGGCGTATTTGGTGTTTTGGCCTTTACTTTAGGGAGGTTGTCTAGTTAACAAATTAACATTTAAAAGTGGACGTTAAATGTTGCATTTAAATATATGATGATTTGTCATTTTATTTGTAACGTAGTATTTTATTTAAATATGGATGGAAATTATAGGTAGATTGTCTTGACATAGATTATAATATGCACAATTTATTTGGTGCGAATGATTTTCCACACATATTTTGTTAAAACTAGTAATTGACATGTAAACGGATTATAACCCAACCAGACCAAACCACTTACTAAATCGATGTAACAGTATAAACCGGTTTGAAATCCTTCCAAATTACCCTCCTCTCCAGTTAATAAGCACATTTGAAGAATCAACACAGTTCCACATGAACAGAACACATTCATTGATTGAGAAGACAACAAGTACAACACTTTCCCACACAAAGCACTAAGCTTTCATTGAAAACAATCCAATTTACATCAAGAACTACTCAAATCTTGATGAGTTCCCCACAATCAAAATCAGCCCTACTCAGAAGCAACTTCCCCAACACAGGAGAAAGAAACTTGTCCTTCACAAACTTCATAACCCACCAGTTACTCTGCTGAATATACCCAATCACATAAGCTGTTGTGATCATCACAAAGCTTCTCCATCTCCTCTCTTCCCCAAACTTGCTCAACCCACTTCTGATCCTCTCAAACTCGCCCTCCTCGTCGGCTTTCCTCGGCAGGAGAGCCTCAGCAAGACGTCTAGCAAGAATGACACCATCTTCCAAAGCCATGTTGGCACCTTGTCCAACATCTGAGGTCATGGGATGCAGAGCATCCCCTGCAATGCAGACATTGTCTTTGCTTATGTTGCCCCAAAGCAGCTCCCATGGATACCTAAACCTCATTGGGGAAGCATATGTTCTTGGCCCGGTTTTCGCTATCACGTCTAGCAACTGGTCTGGTACATTCCCAATTGTGCTTAGCACAAACTCCTTGGCCTTCTCTGGATCATTGCCTATAACCTTGTCTGTTGGGAAGAAAAAGAAATCACCATGTTTAAGTTAGTAAGAAGGAGAAGAGGAAGGTTGAATGATGGGAAAAGTTTCATGATGGTACCTTCATTAGAGGGAGTCCAGGTGAAGAACCAGTAACAAGTTTGTTCATCACAAGGGTTGTAACCAACTCTGATCCCATTCCCATGGAACTGAAACCCTTTGTGCACGAAACCATGGCCCGATTCGAAGTGTGCATAGCCTCTTATGGAAGATCTTCTTGCATAAGCTGGCTTCCCAAATCCTAGCCACTTGGCCACCACTGAGTTCACTCCATCACAACCAATCAACACCTTCCCACAATTGAAAATGGACTTGTAATTTCAGGATCAGATCTGGGTTCATGCTAAAACAAATGAAAATGAAGAAAAGGTCACATCTTTTTTTTGTTTTACCTTGGCTTTGATTGTGGTACCATCAGCAAGATGGAGAAGCTTGAGATGCCCTGATTCTTGAATTGAAACCAGCTTGGATGAGAATCTGATAGTTCCATTGGGAAGATCTCCTGAGAGTGCCTCCACAAGCTCTTTCCTCTTCATGCATCTCACTTCATGATATCCACTGCAGAAAAAAACACAGCATCCCTTGTGAAATTTGGAGCCATCTCTTGAAAACAATGTGACACAAAATCTATGTTTACTTACTTTGGTCTATCCTTGTTCTTGTATGACTTCTCAGAAACCAGTTCCCCTGTAACATTTGACCCAGCCACAATTCTGCAGTCCAGTTTCAGAAAGTTGCAGACTTTCATCAGTAAACAACAACTTATAGTCAGCATGAGGATGAATGGATGACAGGATGGCTACCCTTGAAGCCGAATATGTGTCCCGCGGAGCGTATCACCAATACCAAGAGCATCCAAGGCTTTCCAGGCATTAGGCCATGCCATGAATCCGAACCCACTCGACCTCAAGCTATCAGCTGATTCCAGCACCAAGCTTCTTATCCCCATCCTGCAGCAAATTCCCCATGAGATCATGCTGAATTCTGTGCTTACTTTACACAATAAGCAGATTTTTGGATGTTGGGGACAAGTTACCAAATCAGTTACCTGTGAAGTGCCAAAGCTGTAGCAAGGCCAGCAATCCCAGCTCCCACAATCACAATTCCTTCTTCCATGCTTCAGATTTTCTTCTTTTTGCTTTGTTGGTTTAGAAAGCTTTAGATTTCCTTTCCTCATACAAACAATGAATGAATTGGCCTTTAAAGTTGGAGTAGGTTGCCAATGGTGGAGAATGGGAAGTATATAGTTTAATAATCTGTAATAATGCTGATGACCAAACAACTTTGGTTGTTTGTGTTTAGTTTATTGCTCTATACACAAGAATTTGGCCTAATCAAGTTGGCATTTGTCCTTTTCCTTCAGCACATGCTCATGGGGAACAGAAATTACCAGATCAATAACCTGTAGATTTTTATTCCAAGTACAGATCTAAATCCTACCAAGCCCTGGTGCCTTCAAGGATTAGACAAATTAAAATGACATCAAACTAGACAATAATTTCACCTTAACCATAGTCTAAAGCAGTAAATCTTTGAAGATAGAAGATTTCTTAGGAAGTTTATGATTAGACTCGTTCCTTTGTTCATTTGCTCTATTCAGTACATCATATAGCTTATAGCATAAAAGCTGTTCCAATGAGCTCAAGCTTCTCCAATCTCCAGTCTCCAGCTCATTTCCTGTTTTGTTCTTCATCTATTCCTTTCCCCACCAGGATTCTGTCTTTCAAGGACTCAGGAAGGCAACCCCTGCTGAAGATTGTCAACACCATCTTCCACACCTGGCACCTCGGTCGATCCATATCCATTGTTCTGAAACCAACATTGCCTTTGCTTAGATTCTTTCAAGAATCTTTTCATGGTGGTTTATCAGTACCATATGCAATTTGAAGCTACCTTGGGAAATGATGTCTAGTTTATAATACCAATAAAAAAGAACATATGCATCAATCCGTTGTAGTCTAGTTGGTCAGGATATTCGGCTCTCACCCGAAAGACCCGGGTTCAAGTCCCGGCAACGGAAAATCTATTTTTTTCCGGCCATCAAAAATTGCAGAGTCCTCTCTTTCTTGTACCTAAAGGCCTCATTTTTTGGGTAAAAACCAAAAGAACACACACTGGCATTCAACAAGCATACTGATAATCCTATCGCCGTAGAAATCCAAAATCGCAGGCTGCATTGTTTACAAAGCTGCTCACAGAATGATAACTTAAACTTGGGAAGAACTATGATTGATTACAGAGGTCACAACACAAGTCCTGATCTCAATAACAGTAAGCGATGTGCTCTCCTTATTTGAAGAGGTGGGCCTGCTTCATGCTTGTGACCAGTTGATGGAGAGAACCATATAAGAGCTGGAGAAATCATCAAAAGGGTTCTTATGCAACGAGGCCGTAGAATAGAGAGGCTTGATCGTGCCGGTAGCGAGGTTGTAAACGCCTATGTCGTGACCTGCATGCCTTCGCTCCGAGTGAGGGTACATAAGATCATCGGTGAAATAAATCGAGTCGGGCATGAATCGAGGATGCACTTCGGTTGGAACAAAAGCAGAACAAGAGTTGAAAGCCCAGAAACAAGGCAAACTCCCCAATGCTTCTCACCTCATCCCATCCCCCACTTGCATCCTTGTTCATCTTGAAAACTTTGAACACATCCGTCCAGTAAAGCTTCGTGGTTTCTCCTCCGCTGCCCGATTGTTCATCTTCTGAATCGCTATCGGGAATGGTGTAATCAAAATCACCACCTTCAGGTTGCTCGTGATTATAATAATCATCATTATACACCAATTCTGAATGTCTAGCCACCATCATCAACTGATCATCATCGTGGTCATCCCCTGTAGCAGCAGCTGGACATACAACCAGGTATCGAACATCGGCCTCGCTGTAAACACAACAACTGCCAGGAAAATCGAGAATGAATGACATTGTCGGGCGATGTGGATTAGCAGCAAAATCACACACAAGAACCCTCCCTACAACGTCCAGGGCATAGAATCGACCCCTCCAGAAAACAACGTCCACATAATAAACCTCGCTTATACCATTCTCCTCGTGAGAAACGTACTTCCACCCGGCCTCGATTTCACTAGGCCTGCAGAACGCTAGGCGATAATTGCTGTAGTTCCAACGAATCCCCATCACGATGCAGTCCTCCTCCACCGCCGCCGCGGCGGGGTCAGCAGACATTTCAACCCTGCTCATGAACCTGCTCTCCATGAATCTCTTGCCGATCAGGGTCTCCGAATCATGGTATTGAATAAGGTATTCAAGCTTTGCTCTCTCGGGGTTGTAGCCCAACACATCAGGAAAAGATGTGATGGGTGGGAGAGGGATTTCAGTCATGGTAAGAGGGTTAAACAATGAGATGTCAGAAGTTTCTCCCGCCATGAACAGCCAGCCCATTGACGAATCCCCGGCAGGTTCTGTTCTGCAATCCGCGCGTGGGAACTGAAAGTGGTGAAATCTATGCAGCGCGACGTCGTAGAAGCAGCGGCAGCAGTCAGTTCCTTTACAGCCAATCTTCGGTGTCGCGGCGGCAGGCGAACAGCTAGTAGTAATAGTAGTAGTAGTGCTGAACATGGTCGCGTCCATGTTCATGTTGTTGCTGCTGGTGCAACAGGGCAGCATCAGCAAATGCGTGAATGGTGGAAGCCTGCGCTGCTCCTCGTGCAGCAGGGCTCGACTCCATGAATTACAAACAGCTCTGGATCGGATGACATCGTCTAGTGTTATCAACCGTTGTCCGATCATACACAGAAGATCCTCGCCTAATTCGGACCAATCCTTCAATCCATCAGCCATTGCCGGCTTGCCCTGCCCAGATCTCTGTAGTCTGTAGATCAATGCATCACTGTCGACCAAATCCCTTATGAGTAGACTGAATCTGAAATGAATTAGAGATGTTGTCTTGTTGTTAAAGAGCATTGCACTCTCTTTTTTTTTTTAATTAATTTATTCAATAATTTTCTGATCTACGGTTTAACGGTTAGTAACCGGCGATTAAACGATTAACCGACTAATCATTTACGTCTAATTCTCATAATTAGGATCGAAAATAATAGGTCTCGATGAGCCGTATGCATAAACAAAAAAAAAATAATGGGATGTTTGAAAGCATGAAAGTTCAAATGCGGGTTGGATCCGGTCCTTAAACCTCATTGTTTAAGGAGATTCTTAAACCATTTTTATTGGCTGATACTAGATTAGGTAGTTAATGAGGGGTTAGTAGTTAATAGTTAGTTGGAATAAATAAGATATTATAAAAATATAATTAATATTACTCATTAATGATTCTCTTTCTCTCTCCCCCTTGATCTTCTCCATACCCCTCTCTCTCCACTACAATTAAAAGGAAATTCGAAATTAATTTAATTAGATATTATTATTTAATATTTAATAAATTCGAACTTTATATTTTTTAAAATGAAAATTAAAAATTAAAAATATATGCTCTCTCTCACTTCGTGGCAACTTGCAATACAGTATTAACATTTTGCAATGACATTATCAACATTTATGAAATGAATCGTTATTATTATACCTCATTATTATTAACGACTTCAATATACTTATCAATTCCTTACAATTACATTATTAACAATTTTGGATCAATTGTTACTGTTTTATAGTTTCGTCATCAACGGATATGAATGAATCATTAAAGTTATGTAACATAGTCATTAATAGTTTGAATAACAATATCATTGATTTACAACATCTTTAGTATTAATGATTCACATTTTCACATCATGTTTATAACTATCTAGTCATGGCCTCTTCCAATGATTTCTAATGACATTATTAACGTTTTATGATCAATTAATATTGTTTTACATTATCATTCTCAATGATCATAAAACACAATACTGATTTTCAACATCTTGGGTACTTATGATATAGTGCACCTATGTGATTCAGTCAAACAAACATTGTCCAGAAAAATATTAGCTCAAGCAAACCAACATTCACGCCTCAACACCAAACTTTTAATAACTATACAATAAATCATTGATAACGAAAAGTATTTCGTTGAAAATAAACACAAAACATCAATGTAAAAATGTCCGACTTCAACATTATAAATGACATCAAACTTTTAATAAAGATATTAAAAACCATTAATATTGAATGACAAGTAACTAATAAGGAAATAGATTTTTGTAATATAAAAATATTAATAATATTCAGATGCAATGTTTAATGTCAAATAGCACTAAAAACGCATTAATAAGTAACATTTTTTTAATGGATAATGCATCCAAAAACTTTGATAATGATAGCAACTAATGATTGTTAAGTACCTTATTAGATATTATTAATATCTTATTTTCAAACATTGATAATGCTTATACACGCCTATTAATAATGACACCAACTACGTTACTAACTTAGACTGAAAGATTAATAACCATAGTTATATCATTAAACGTAAATTCACTTTTGATAATGTCATAAACAAACGAATATCTAACAAGTATGCTTCTTGATAATGACATTTGACAAAGTTACAAACATAAACGAAAAAATATTAATAATTCAAATCACTAAACATAAGCAATCTTACAAATAAATTAAATTTTTGCTAATGGTTGTATTGTGCTTGGAAAAAAATATTGATAATAGCACTTCAAATGATTATAAATCATTTCGAAGCAAATTGATAATACGATGTAATAGTAAATAAACTTCAAGTACCAACAAATTGAAAACACAATTTCACTTTTGTTAATGTTACAAACAAAACATAACTTAAAAAGTTAATAATGACATATAAAATTATTAAAAAACATGTCGAACAACATTAATAATAACACAAACGAATACCTAACAACGAAAAATCTCAAACCCATGCAATGAAAAGCCCTAATGATAATTCAATTTATAAATATTGATAATGTCATTACAAAATGTTAATACTTAATACTAATCGGAAGTTTCCAAGATGTGAGAGAGCAATATATTTTAAATTTCAAATTTCCATTTTTAGAAAAAAATATTAAATTCGGATTTTATTAAATATTAAATAAATTTAATTTCATATTTCTTTTTAATTATAATGTAGAGAGAGGGTTATGGAGAAAATCATGGGAGGAGAGAGAAAGAGAATCATTAATTAATTATATTGATTTTAATTATATTTGCATAGCCCTATTTACCCTTAACTACCTATTAACTACTAACTCCCATTAACTACCTAATCTACTATCAGCCAATAGAAATGCTTTAAGATTTTTCTTAAAAAATGAGGTTTAAGGACTTGAACTCAAGCCGTTCAAATGAGAATAATTTCAAAGAAGAGCTTTAGAAGGATCACAATAGAAAGTTGGACTTACGAACAGTAGCTCTACAACAATCACTAACATTTAAATTTCAACGTAATTTGGTAGAATTTGTGAGTGGAGTAATTATTGTTAGGTCTCTTATTCTTGTCTGCTTCTTTAATCAAATTTGACGTTAAAATGGTTATTGTGTAGTTATGTTGGATTAAGTTGATTATGTATTGATATCTATGTTAAATTATTTTTTATTTAGCGATACAACTTAAAAAAAACACACATACGTATGCACAAAAACAAATTCTACAAAATTTCACAATTGAAAAAGCGAGGAGATCTTTTATTAGTTAGGTTACCGATCCCTTATTTTGGTATAAACTTTCTGAATCACTTGCTTATTGATTATCCGATTAACCGACAATATAGTCGAGAACCAACTATATAATTATGGTTTACCAACTAATATAAATATTACGATTAGTAGTAAGCACAAAAGTGATTAACGAAGAACCGACTAAATGATCCCAATTATAACCGGACCGAACCGATTACCAACCCTTCGTAACCCCCATTGATGCTTCCTGTCTACCAACCGAGAACCAACTGGGGGCTAAAAGTTAATGGACTCCTGTAACAGACTGTCATCATCGGCCCAAGCATATTCCACGGGGCCGCCATTAACAAATGAAGGGATGGACCAAACGTGGCACCAAATTAAAGCCCAAACTCGTACAATACAATAAATGGGCCTTTCTCGTTTCTTGCCCACTCCACCAGCCTTCTCTATAAAATCTTCCCTAAACTCCCACATTAGCTTGCACCTTTCAAGAAACAAAAAATGTCGAGACGAGCCATGCTCATCATCCTCATCTTCATTTCCATGGCGGTCCTCTCATCAAGCGCCCAACAACCACCACTCAATTGGGCCAGAAGGCTCGACTCCGGCGACGGCCCGGAGTCCGTCACCAACCTCCAGTTCTACTTCCACGACCTCCCCGGCGGGAAGAACCCGACCGCGGTCCAGGTCGTCAAGCCGGCCTCCTCGGGCACCTCCATCAACAGCTTCTTCGGGTCGGTCGCGATGGCCGACGATGCGCTGACCGAATCCGCCGACGCGGGTTCCAAGGTCGTAGGCCGGGCGCAGGGGCTGTACGGCTTCGACAGCCAGAGCGACCTCACGCTGGTACGAGAATTCGGTGGAAACTGTTGAGTTTTTTTTTTTTATTACTGACATCACATGGAGTTATATTAACCTCATTAATACGAAAATTACATAACTCCTATAACTGTTATAAGAAATATAACTATATCCAATTTCGTAACAAATGTTTGTAATATAACACGCTCGTACTATTCATACTCTAATAGATGATGTCGATGAGCTACGTATTCACGGACGGGCCCTACAGCGGCAGCTCCCTCAGCGTCGTGGGCCGGAACCCGACCATGGACACGAACCGGGAGCTGCCCGTGATGGGCGGGACGGGGCTGTTCAGGATGGCGCGTGGCTACGCGCTCTTGAGGACGGTGTCGCTTGATGCCTCGGGGGACGCGGTTGTGTACTATAACGTCACGGTCCATGCGCCGGCTTCCAATTATGCCAATGCACAAATAATCTCTCCCGCCGGCGGCGGTGGAGGGGCACCGGCGCTGCTAAGGCGTTGAGTAGTAGTGGTTGTTCTTCTCCGATGATGGTGGCCGGCAACCGGTGGATGTTAATTACTGCTGTTATGGCTTTTTGTGGCGCGTTTAATTGTTTAGCTATGTAATTTTGGGGGAATTGTTTGTCGTGGCTGGTGGGTGTCGTCACATTATATTCCGGTTGTTTTTACTTTCCCCGCAATTAATTAGAAATGTTGTCTTGTACGTTGTTAAAAAGCATTACATTATAGACATGGCAAATTACACTCGAACCATTGACTCGACCTTAACTCGTCAAAAAAGTAGAAATTTTTATAACTCGAATGACCTGAATCTGATAACTCGTGATTTTTTTAGTCGGGTTGGGTGGGTCAGCGGCGGATCCAGAACACAGAAGAGCACTGGGCCGTATTTCATTAGAAAATTAGAACCGTAAAAAAATAATGACTATAGTTTTTTTTACAATGTCAATTGTACACAACGGTATTTAATTTAGCAAATGCATCAATAATGGAGTCCACGTCCATACCCATAGTATACACTGTTTGAAATAAAATACTTGAGCGAGAAATTCATCGCTTATTTTATTGCGCAAATCAGTTTTCAAATGTTCCATTGTTGAAAAGGTTCTCTATGTAGTAGCTGTTGGAACTAGCAGCCTCAACACTAGACAAATCAATCAACTAATCAATTTGCATTGTGTGTCCATCCCTATATCCACTAGCTGCTCTAGTAAATTACTAAATTTTCAAGGAAACACACCTCATATATCTTTTAGTCTTTTACGTTTTAGAATTTTAGGTTTCATTGTTTTTTTATACGAATAATCTTTAGGGCTAAAATTTCTAGGCTAAATCTAGATTTTTTTATCAGAATCATTTTTCTAATTATACCCAATCTTATTATAAAATAACACGGGGTCGAATGTCTAAAATCGAAAAATTCATAAAAACTATACTAACACCGGATCCAGAGGAGGGATGGGCCCGGGCCTAGGGTGGCCACCCCCTAGATCCGCCAGTGGGGTGGGTTAGCAAGTCGAATCGTCGAATCCATTTCATTTTATATATATCACTCCCAAAATGATAAAGTCACTCATAAATTGGTGAGATGTTTAAAAAAAATCACATGGATTTGTATGACATGTTTGAAATTCAAGGATAATCAAATATCATGAGCTTCTTGTAGTAGCATTACTCTTGGGATTGTTTTTTGACGGTTTGCGCAATTTATATTTCATTTCATTAGCATGGGAGAATTTGATAATATGTTAATTGACATGTGTTAGGTAAACTATTGTCATACATATGTGAAAATTTGTGTTCTTTAAGAAAATATGAAGCATGTTTGATATTGTTTCTGAGAGCGCTCATAACCCGAAACCGAAACGTCCTGTAACCCGACCTGGCCGAATGGGTTGGGTCAATATTTGACCCGAAATCAACAAACCCAACATGACTCGGCCCGTAACCGGAGGCCCCAACCCGACCCGATTGTCGGGTCTACATTACACTCTTTGTTTTTTTAATTAATTCGTTAATAATAATGGTCTTTTTTTTTTTTTTCTTTCTAGCTGTGGTAAATGACATTTCTTAATGATCTATGTTTGTGATGGTACTCTATCAATTTTTAACGGTTTAAATTTATTCGAAAAGATCAAGTCATCTATGAAATCTAAAAATATATCCATATTTTGTAGGAGGTTCCAAAAACATACACAATCTCCTAACGAGAATAGGACAAAGTAATTAAAAACTTGGAGGAGTTTGGCCACAAGTGGCCGGAAACCAATTAAGATGTAAGACAAAAATCTCCATGGAGATGGCAAAGATGTAGTTGGAGAGAAGGTCCCATTCTTTAGTCTTTTCTTTGCTTCAAAGTTTTCCACTAATCCTCCATTTAAGTAAACGGTGTCGGTGAATGAAGCACTAGAGAGACGCATTTCCGGCCATTAAATGAATTGTTTTGGAAATTACATAGCCCTCGTCACCATAGTAAGAAAATTCCTTTTATGATCACCCTACTTTCACTACTGCCTGGAAGAATTTTGTATTTAAATCACTACTTAGAATCCACATTTGCATAGATTCCTATCTTGTGAAAAGCTCTCCCGCCTTTGTAACTGTAGAAGTTGGACCATACATTTTTTTTTAACAAAAAACTTCGTTACAAGGTGCTTTGAGACTTCTATTTATGCCACTGCTGAGGTTGCTTGAGCTTATATTATTTCGATATTTTCACCCTTTCATGTAATTCAGAGTAATGAGTCACATGTTGAATCTCCTCCACATTACCTGCTTTAGCTTCTACTTCACATTCTTTTACCAATTGGCAATAACAATTAACAAGGGTAACTTTTCCAAAAACCAGGGATCATTTAGTATTTGTAATTCTAAATGGTGTATTCACTGAATTTATGTAGTGTATAAAATGCATCTTTTTTTGGTCTAAAATGATGTACAGTGCATGCATTAGTTTTTTCTATTTGACATATCAAATCTTCATTTTGAATGGTTTAGAATCTCATTAACAAAAAGATGAGATTGTTGAGGTAGTTAGTTTGAGATTGTGATCTTGTTTTTCTTTGCTTTTGTATTCCTATCAACGAAATACCTCAAATTTTCCATTCTCTCACCAACTCAAAATATGGGTAAATATGACTTTTTCTCAAAAAGGTTACTTTCCCTCTTGAATATACAACACCACAATTACAGCAACCAAACATTGTAATCTTAAAATTCACCCATTTAAACAATACAAACATTTATAATGCATGCATTTATAAAATACATCAATTTTCATAATCACAAATACCAAATGACCTCTAAAGTATTTAAAAGGCGTTGGCAGACTTTTTAATCTTGAATCAGTATGTAGAAGCAAATCATAGTGATAAGATAGACACGAGGATGGAAGAGCTTTGATACAACTACGGGGATACTTAGTCAACCATACTAGGTTAACTAGTTTGTTTGAGGGATCTACTGATGGAATTAGTGATGTTGTCTTATTGTTAAGGAGCATTACACTCTTCTTATATAAAAGGGTGCAAAGCATCGCAACCTCAAATTTAAATATGGTGGGGCAACGCGATTGTACATGGCCTAATACATAACGTTAGATCGAAAATAAAATAAAAAACTCAGAACATAAGGTTAATGAGTTTTATGCCTTGTTAGCTAGTTAATCTGCTAAGCAGTTACCTTCTTTATAAATGTATGTGGATGACACGCACAACCCAAGCACTCTCCAAAAGGGTGTGATGTGAAAGCGAAGAATAAGGGAAGCGTGTTGGTGCGTTGTGTAATTTGGGTTCTGGAGTAGGGCCACCACAGCAGATGAATCAAGTTGTGCTTCTACCTTTCGATGTCCTAGGCGTCAAGCCATCTCGAGTCTCTCAATGGCGCTTCGTAGTTTGGCTCGGTAATGTAATGGATCTCCAGGTTCATGGCGGAGCTGACTTAATTATTCAAACAAGTTGAATGAAGTTTATGGCGTATTTTGAACGGCTTAGATTCGTTGGAAAATATCTCAAGTCACCTAACTTGAAAAAAATATGAAAATTTTGAAGGAGGTCCAAATAATGTAACACAATCTCCTAACGTGAATGTGACGCGCAAATTCGAGTAAAACCAATATGAGATAACTTTTTGTTGGACATAAATCACGAATTTCTTCCTATACGACGGACACTCGCGTCTGAGAGATGCACCACTCCATTCGGAAAATGGTTTTCCCTTAAAAGGGGATCAAGATGATAAGAAGAAGAGAGAAAAGCCCGCCCTAAACTATGGGACTCTTTATCTCTGGGTTTCATGGAAAACCTATATGGGATACTTTTTTGTGCATGGAAGTTTAACCTTTGTATTTATCTCGTTACTCGTTTATACTTGGAAGCAAGTATCTTTTCAAAAGCTTGTCGTGCAACTGTTCATGATCGATATATCTTCTAATGAAACAAGGACTTATTACTTTCGATGAATTGGACACTGTGTGTGTGGTCTGAGCTTCTTACATGGATTCGTTGATTTAACTTTTAGTCCAAGTTATGCAGGCTTGGTTATTATTCTTTTGCATATAATATAAGGTCTCACTCAACCCGATCAAACAAACAAAAGATAGAACATATATTAGAGTTTTGTTCGAATCCGGCCAATGAAACAAAAATCGTATGGTATTACTAGTCTACAACAGACCGAATCTCCAACAAAAATTATAATCTCCAGAATTAATTAATGTGGCCTTACAGAAAGAAAGTGGTTAAGTATCATACATAGGCCTGTATAAAATTCAGCATAATCTTCTCACAACAATTCTGAGTTATTGGGACTAACTGGTTTATGACACTTACCATAGTCACTTAACGATGTGATTAGGTCGCGGGTTCAATTTTGACGAATAGTTAGTGATGACAATTTGAATCGATTTCGTTAAGTGATAATATATATATAACCCAATTCGTAGCGGCGTGAGGTTGGATATAAATACTATTTACATCATGTCACGCTTCGTTCTTGAGCTGTTCTACCTTAATTCGTCTCAATATTCAATTGCAATGCTCTTATTTTACATATTTTAAATCATATACTTCACCCAATGATATTTTAGATAAGTGCAAGACTTCATATTACAATTAATTTCACTCGATTAATCTACCTAGCTACTATATCTATTCTCTATTTATGAACTATTTTTTCCTAGGGGTGTGCAACGGGTTGGCTCTTACCGTACCGCACCGGTCACCGGACCAAACTGACACTTGGACCGGAACACACCGAACTGAATGTAAAATGGTTCGGTCCTTGGTCCCATGAATTTTATAAATACAGAATAAAAAATAAACCGAGTTGACATTTGGCGATCCGGTTGTCCTTTGGTCCTAAAATGTCTTTCACTACTGGACAACAGTTCTCCCGAGTTTGATCTGGTCCGGACCGGACCAAACCATTGCACACCCCTGAACTTTTTGCTTTGCTTTTATCGTTAAGAATGGACAGGCGAGGCGAGAATGACAGCCGACTGTTTGGTCAGCTGAGCAAAAACTCCTCTTTGACTGCCCAGAATTGCTCCACTCGGCCAAAAAAAAGGCCAAACCCAACCTTGCCTATAAATCGCCCCCTAAAAAAACCCATCGTCCTCCTCACACACCATCACAGGGAAAAAAAATCAAACACCAAAACCAAATCATGGGAAGCCGCCATCGATTCTATTCTCTGCTCCTCACGGTCATTTCGCTAGCCACGTCCAGATCCTGGGCCCAGCCGTCGGCCCGCTCCGTCAACTGGGCCAAAAGGCTGGACTCCGGATCCGGCCCGGACACCATCACCAACATCCAGTTCTACTTCCACGACATCTTCACCGGGAACCACCCGACCGCGACCCGGGTGGTCCACCCGGTCCCGGGTTTCTCCCACACGACCTTCTTCGGGGCGGTCGTGATGGCCGACGACCCGCTGACCGAGTCGGCCGACCGGAGCTCCAAGGTCATCGGGCGGGCGCAGGGGATGTACGCCGCCGCGGGGCGGAGCGAGATCTCGCTGCTGATGTCCATGAGCTACGGGTTCACGGACGGGGATTACGACGGGAGCTCGCTCAGCATCGTGGGCCGGAACCGGGCCGTGGACCCGACCCGGGAGCTGCCCGTTTTGGGCGGGACGGGGGTTTTCAGGATGGCGCGTGGCTACGCGGTTATAAAAACGGTGTCGGCGAATGCGAGGGGAGATGCTGTGGTTCATTATAACGTCACGGTCTACGCTCCCCGGCTTTAAACGGTCGGTGAGCGAGTCTTCGCCGGTTGCTGGCGCCGTCGGTGGATGGGGGCAGCGAGCAGCTAATTTGTTTGTGTTTATGGTGCTGTAGACTGTAATAATGCCGGGAAATTAATGACGTCTCTGAGGGAGATGTTTCTTGTTTCATTGTGGTATAAATATAATAACACAAAAAATTGTCTTATCGTTCACCTACAAAATTGGTTTAGAGTTTACAATTAAAATGAGAAATTATAGATTTTTTTAGATATTAATTATTATTATTATTATATAACTGATATGAACCGGTTAAACATAAGGAATTAAAGAGTACGATCCCTATGAAGTAGGCAACTACTGATCATCGTATTGGTAAAGTATTATCTCACAAACTAGTTAATCATACGCGAATTCCTTTTTCGAACGGATTTCTTTGCTCCTTAACCTACGGGGTATTAGCAGCCGTTTCTAGTTGTTGTTTCCCTCGCAAGGGCAGGACTTCTAACGCGTTACTCACTGGAAACACCATTTCTCGTCCGACTTGTATGTGTTGTGATCAATCTGTGTTAAAAAATTGAATATATTTAACGGGAATTTTTGGACTATTATTCTTTTTTTCATTGGCTTTAACCACATGTATAATGAATGGCATACAAAGATACGTGATATTTTATTTATAAATGATAAGAGTTTGGTTTAGTGGTTCAATCATTTAGATGCACAAATGAGTTGAACTCGTGAACTTATTGATGAGACGAGTTTAAGTAAATGCATTTGTGCTTATTAACGAACCGAATTTTAGTCGAAGTTTTAACATAAAATAATATTCATAGTTCATTTTAGAATAATTTATTTTAGAAGCTTATTTCGTAAGCTTATTTGAAACCATATAATAACCTACAAAAAAAAACATATAATCATAATTTACTTTAGAATAAAGTAATATTTTACAATTCATCCATCGGAAATTCCCGCGCAAGTTTCCCGTTTCATTCTGCGGCCAACGGTAACTCCCGCGCTTCTCGCTCTCGCGCGGGAACCAAACCCATCCAAACGGTGTCGTGCAATCACATCGCCGGCGATGACCCGATTCGCCGCCTCCGTGTAGTGATGATCGTCCCACTTGACATAAGATCCCGGCCTCTCACAAGCCACCGCCCCGGCCTCCCCGCAACCCGCCGACGGTTCATAATTGTACGGCCCTCCGGATCCGCAGCAAGCCCTGTTGATCGTCGCCCTCTCGAACCCGAATCTCTCCGGGTTCTCGTGGATCCGAATCGCCGACTCGAAATAACCCGCGTAGTGAATGCTCGCGCCCGGGTGGAGCTTCCCGACCCGCTCGATTTCATCTCGGAGCATCCGGTTGTGGCGGTCGGAGAATCGGTTGTGGTAGACGAGGCAGCCGGTGACCGGGTCGTAATCGCTCCGGTTCGAGCTCCGAAACCGGGTGAGGATCCAGGGGAAGCAGCCGGTCGGGTAATCCCCCGGAACCAGGAAGCTGACCGCCCCCAATTCGATGAGCTCTTCGATGGCGGACCCGATCCTGTCCACGACGAATGGAATCAGATCCTCGATCTCGTCGGAGGGCAGACCGGCGCGGTTGGAGCCCAGGTAATCGACGCCGCCGATTTCCCCAACGAGAAACAGGGAGTGCCTGAGTTTGTCTCTGCAATTCGAAGGATCGGAACAGAGTGAATTGAGTAGGGTCCTGAATCGATGCAATTGAACGCTCAGCGAGCAGTTCTGGCAGGTGGAGCTTCCCCTGGCTTCGAGGAACTCGTGGTCGAGGGCGGTGGCGGAAGCTACGGCGAGATTGGCTCCGCGAGAAAGAGTGGTGATGTTGTTGATCGAATCTCCGGGGTATGGCGGAAGCAGAGGGAGGCCCAGGAGGTGCTGGGCGATGAAGTCGGCGACGACTCTGCCGTCGCTGCAACGGCCGGTGGGATGGTGGAAGTAGGTCTCGCCGTACGGAGGGAATAGGCAATTGGAAACGAAGTTTCCCGGAGCGAAATCCACTCCGGCGGCGGCGGCAGAGTCGCCGAAGATGAAGAGGGAAGTGTAGCAGCTGGGTTCGATTGGGTCGTCGGGAGATCCGAAACCGTAATTGTTGGATAGAATCACGACGAAGAAAAGGATCGTTGGCAGAGGATGCAGTTTCATCTTTTTGGGTTTCCCCTGAGCTGCAAAAGGATAATAATTTTGACACCACAGTCTGTATTGATCTATCAATGGCGGGGAAAATCCCAAAATACGAGGTTGATAAACAAATTGTCACAACAACAATTTGCAACAAATTTCCTAAAATGCAAGAGTTTGGAGCGTATTAAAGTGTGCTTTGACAAAGGCAAGCGATGGAACTTTTACGGACCATTTTTTGGCCTAACATATCTCACTCGAGCTTTCTATCACACTTATTGAGTTATTATACAACGATAAGTCGATAACCATGGTTTTCACTCTGTGCTTTGAAAACGTGCTCGCAACACGCATTAGTTGTTAGATTGCGTATTGGAAGATTTATTGTCGTTTATTTATGAGCGGTGCATAACGTGCGATCTGATGGTACCATTTGGTACCACTGTCATCTGGTACCTGGTAATGGTAGCGTACCAATAGTTATAAAATGAGTTGTCAATCTCACAACCCCCTTAACCCTCTAAGAGGGTTGTGATGGTATCTCATCCCATGGGCTCATAGTGAAAGCCTGAAAGGGAGAAAAGGAAGACGTTGTGTATGGTCCAACGTTAACTGACTTAAAGGAGGCACGTCTCTATTTAAATGCAACCACCCAATTAATTGGGTGCAATGGTGACTTGCAACTTGTAAATTGTATACTCTAAAAAAACTTGTAAATTGTACAATCATGCTAATTATGAGTTATATTAATTTGCGTCGTTGTATTTTTATTATCGACTAAAAGAGCAAAAAATATGACTCCAAGTTATGATTTTGTTGGATTAGCAGTCATATGATTACAACGGCAGAAACAGTCACTACAATTATAAATGTATTACTACAACTCATAGTTAGTATGGTGCTAACTCCTTATCGATCCCAAATTTTCCCTCTCTCCAACACAAGGAGAATTGGAGAATGCAACTTCATGAAAAAACCGCCCCGACCTACATTAACCACTTCAAATGGTAGGGCTGACGGGTCCTGGTAACATGTACATTATGTCAAGAAATCAGTTGATCCCAATAACTCGATTTGTTGGAAGAGATCCATGTATAGATCTTAACCACTTCCTTACACACTCACTCAAACGAAAAACCAACTTATGGGCTTGAGTGAACAATTAATATTGGAGTCATGAGGATTTGAAGATGTGACCTCACGATCAAACCAGAATCGAAAACCATGTCAAGAACCAATTCATCCCAATAAATGGAGTTCTTTTTGGAAGATGTTAATTAATAATGGATCTTATGCCACACACTAACACTATTGCTAACAAGAGGACCACTTATATGAGTTTGAAAGTTGCACCGAAATACCATGTTTTAACAAATGTGGTCGCCAAAATTTGAACAAAGCATCTCTTGGTTAATATTTAAGGTATGCCTATGGTGACATGCATGTCACCGTAACTTGCACTTTTAGGTCGACCTTATATGGATTAGGTGGACCTAATCTGCACTTTTAGGTTGATCTTATATAGGAGTAGGTCGACCTAATATGCACTTTTAGGTTGACCTAATATGGCGTTTCAGTTTTGTGAGGTTCAACGACGCAGTTGACCTTTTATAGAAAATGGTCAACCTCTTGGGAAGCGCATGGATGACATGTACGACTACATGGGCCAGATTTCCACCCAGATGACTGGCATGTACGACTACGTGGGGCAAATGACCACCCAGATGAGCAGACCGCATGTGACCGTGAATGAGTTGTGAGATGAGTTTCGATCTTTCAGTGGAAGATACATGCATGTCACTGTAACTTCCGACTACCATAATGCTAGCAACACCAATGAAGAGAATGTGGATGAGGGAGAGAGGGGACAAGAGTAGGAACTCGACGATTTTAGATTGTGTGTTTTTTATTGTTAAGTGTTAAAAATAATTGTTGATTGATATTATGTGGTTTTAGATTTTAGTTATGTGTGAACAATTATGATTTGTGTTTTATTGTATTTCTTGTTAGTTTGTTTAGTTGTTATGTTATGAGTCATTGTTATCGTTATTTATGACTTATTCTGTTGGTTTGAAACGTAAGTTGTACGAGTAAAAGAACCACCCACATAGCTTCCCAAAGAGGTCGACCATTTGCTATAAAAGGTCAACCGCGTCGTTGAACCTCACAAAACTAAAACGACACATTAGGTCGACCTAATCCTAAAAGTGCATATTAGATCGACCTAATCCTATATAAAATCGACCTAAAAGACATACATGTCACTTCCTAATATTTAATACATCAAGTATGATAATCACTTCAATTAGTCCTAATATTTAATACATCAAGTATGATAATCACTTCAATTCTCTTAATTTCGAGTTTTAAACTTTTATTTGTTAAAAAGAAAGCGGCAAATTGGTTCTTTTCCTGATTTTGGGTTCATCCAATGGGCCTTTTATTTAGAAGCCCTAGCCAGCGGATGGGCTTTACCATAATTGTTAATGGGATCAAGTAGATTTATTTTCTATTTTCTTAATTATATATTAAAATAGAGTTTATCGGTTTTATCTGGCTGGGTAACTTTATTTCGATGTTGTGTCGTTTCCGACTCGACCATTCGGCTACCAAATTACCAATAAACCCTTTTACCCGCCTTCACACCTCCATCAAAATTAAGAACAGAAAGGTCATTACACTCCTCGTCCCCTTCTTTTCCCTCTTCCAATTTTAAACCCAAAACAGAAAGTAGGAAGGAGAAGAAAGGGAAGAGAGCAAAGAGAAGAAGGAAGGGCGACGAAGGGAAAAAAAGGTTATAGTTAGTTCGCCGGCGGCGAGCACAAACAAGGGAGGGGAAGATGTTTAGAATGTTTAAGGGACGGGAGAACTCCGACGAAGGCTCTCCACAAACCCCGATGGTTTCTTCCTCGCCCTCGATGTCGCATCAGTCTCCGGTGACGGGACCAGCGAGGCCGATACGCCTCGTCTACTGCGACGATAAGGGAAAGTTCCGCATGGACCCGGAAGCAGTCGCCACGCTCCAGCTTGTCAAAGGACCGATCGGCGTGGTTTCCGTTTGTGGCCGCGCTCGCCAGGGGAAAAGCTTCATCTTGAATCAGGTTAGTTCGTTCGGTCGAGTTCTCGATTTTATTTTATAATTTGAAGCGGAATGCTGCTGGTTTCGGGGTTCTGGTTGGTGTGGGGGGTGGAGTTTTTTTTAGGAATGCTGCCTGTTGTAGTTTGAGAAGAGAAATAGTTGCTAGTTGTGGCATTTGGGCGCTAATTTTGTTTTCTAGGGTTTGAGAATTGATATTGTATTTGGATTATCAGTGGTATGTAAAGAATGGAACTTGGTTGAACCTCTTATTTGCATCATTGTAGCTAAATAGGTGTCAGTATGCAAACTATCAGTTCCTAATCCAATATAGGCTGCAAGCGTTTCAGATTTTCAGTTAGAACAATGCAATAACATTTCAAACACTCCCCTGATCGTTTTCTAGTTTTGAACTGGTCTAGATATTTGATCCCTGAAGCACGTTTCTAATGTGATTATGTATCTAGTGCTCTTGTATCACTAGACTAATTGTGTTTGTATCTATAGCGCCCTTGTATCACACTGTATAGGAGTAGTGAGAATCACTTTTCGATAAGATTCATACGCGATGGTTAGTCAAAAAATGAAGTCAATGGCGGTCTTTTTGACCAATTTAATATAACGATCAAGATTTGAGTCGAGGGTTTGTTACGAGTGTCTGGTCTAATATATTTCTTTGATTCTGTTTAATGTAGCTCCTTGGGAGGAGTAGTGGATTTCAAGTAGCTTCTACCCATCGGCCATGTACTAAAGGGCTCTGGTTGTGGAGTGCTCCGTTAAAGAGAACTGCTCTTGATGGGACAGAGTATAATCTATTACTCCTAGATAGTGAAGGAATTGATGCTTATGATCAAACGGTACGTTTCCTTCTCTTTCACTCAAAGAATATCTATGGCTGTCACCTGATCCATTGTATACAACATGTCTCGTGGATCTGATTTCATTATTCTATACCCTTTTCTTTAAATTCTCTCCTTTCTGCTACTCACCTGGATGATGCTTTCTTTCTGCTGTTTCTGATTGCATATCTTTTTGGTATTGTTGGCAGGGAACATACAGTACTCAGATATTCTCCTTGGCTGTACTCTTATCTAGCATGTTCATCTATAATCAGGTGGGGCATCTTTATACTGGGGTGTTTGTTCTTTGATATGGTGTAATTGCTAATAGGTTGTACTGTTTAGTGGCTAGAATATGTATTCACTTCTGACAGTTCATTTGCTTCTTTGTCTGATTGTTCATAGATGGGTGGCATAGATGAAGCTGCACTTGATCGTCTCTCTCTTGTCACTCAAATGACGAAACACATTCGCGTGAGAGCTTCTGGTGGAAAAACCACTGCTTCAGAGATTGGACAATTTTCCCCAATATTCGTTTGGCTACTAAGGGTAATTGTGTTTAATGTTTCTGGTCTCTGAGAAATAAGTATTCAGATGTTTTCCTCAGTGGTGATAGTTTCCATCCATTATTTTCTGTTTTTCTGCAGGATTTCTATCTTGATTTAACAGAGGATAATCGGAAAATAACTCCACGTGACTACTTGGAGCTTGCTCTGAGACCTGTTCAGGGCAGCAAAAGAGATATAGGTGCTAAAAATGAGGTAATTAAAAAGTTCAGCTCAGTTTCTTTACATATCACATTACCATATTTTCCCCACAACTTTTATCAATACCATGTTGTAATAAGCTGCCGATTGTGTAACAGTGTAACACAATCTTAGACATTTGTGCATCTTGCATGATAGCTTAATATCTCTGTGAAAATATCCAACTCCTAAATATTTGTGATGATAATGACCAACAGATTCGGGATGCCATTCGAGCGTTGTTCCCAGATAGAGAATGCTTCACACTTGTGAGGCCGCTGAACAACGAAACTGATCTCCAGCGGTTGGATCAAATATCGGTTAGTGGGATAGGTCTTTCATGCATGTTCTTCTGCTCTTGCC